GTTTTGACCCTAGAGTGTTGCCGTCAGCACGGGGACCGGAGAAGGAGACTTTGAGAAGATCTCGGCCATCGTGGAGGCCGTGCCGCAGCTCAAGTACATCTGCGTAGACGTGGCTAACGGCTACTCCGAGCACTTCGTTCACTTCGTCAAAGACGTCAGGGAGAAGTTCCCCTCACACACCATAATGGTCAGTAAGCGTTCAGGAAGAACGTTGGACTGTAAAATGGTGTTTCGGCAGAAAATAAAGCTAAAGCCTTTTTCTTATTTTTGATCAGGCAGGGAATGTAGTGACAGGAGAAATGGTGGAAGAACTGATTCTTGCTGGAGCCGACATCATTAAAGTAGGCATCGGACCAGGTGACCATCCTCCCGATTCTCAGTGTTTCCAGGCAAACTGAGTTAAATATTTCCAGAGTGTTAAGTTCTCTTGTGTCACAGATCAGGAGACAAAAGTCAGAGCAGCGACCTGCTCTGACTTTAATGCATAATCTAAATTTATGCTGTTTGCAGACGTTTCAGGCTCTCTGTGTCTTCGCCCTCAGGCTCTGTGTGTACCACCCGTAAGAAGACCGGGGTTGGCTACCCGCAGCTCAGCGCTGTGATCGAATGTGCAGATGCAGCCCACGGCCTGGGAGGCCACATTATATCTGTGAGTCTCCTGGAACAAACAGTCACTAAATTCAAACTTCTCAACATAATGAATCATCTTTTTGGATTTTTTGCCAAAAAGTTCTTCATACTGTCTAACAAGTGTCTTCACCTCTGTTAAAATGGCTGGGGACTTTTTGTGGTGTAAAAATGAGACCATAAAAAGTTATTTTGAAAATAATTTAATTAAGAACATTTGAAGTCAGCTTCAGCATTTATTCTCATCAGTTATTAATAATCTGAAACCATAAAATAAGGTTCAGATGTTGTGGTGAAAGTGTCTTGATATCTGATCATCTTTTAGCTTAAAGGCACCAGTCAGGATAGACGTATCGATCTCAAAACAGTCATCAGCAAAATGGGGCAACAAGTGATGTTGGAAAAAAAATTTATGTTTCTCCAAAATTGCTGAACAGATTAGACTGAAACTAGACAGTTAGTTTGCCAAGAGGGAAGCAAGACAGAAGCCTTTTGTTTCAAAGACAACTTTCGAGAAGCAGCTGAGATCTCCCTAAACCTTGTGGGGAAAATGTGTCGTGGTCTCATGGAAGTCACGCTGAACTTTGTGGTTTCATGTACAATAGGTTGGCCTCACACAGAACAAAGCTGTTCTGCTTTTCTTCGGTTTCAGGGTGGCCTAGCTAAAGTTCGCAATTAAATCTGGGAACAAATCTGCGGATTCATCTGAAGACTGAAATGAAGAAAATGTAAAACAGGTTTTCGTCTTAAAACTAAGTGCATCCTCTATCCAAAAGGTGAAAGTAAATATAGACACGATTATCATTTTGTATCTCCAAGTCTCTTTCTAAGCTCTGCTAGAAGTTGATCTCAAGGCATTTTAAGCTATAATAAATCTGAACCACAGTTAAAGTTAGATGATGCATGTTGTTGCCCTTCTGTCCTCCAGGATGGAGGATGCACCTGCCCAGGAGATGTCTCCAAGGCTTTTGGTAAGTTTCATTGTTTTAAAATGAAAGTAGTTAATAGAAATTCAGTCAATTTTGTTCCTAGAGTTCCTCTACACCTCAAAGCATAAAAATTGAAACCCGTTGAAAGATACAAAAAGCTATTTAAATGGTGCTAATGGTTGAACACAAGCCTGATTATTTATATCTGAAGGAGTAAAATTGTTTCAGGAATGTTGGCAGGATCGTTTGTCTAACTTTAATTTCTCCTATGGGAGCCTGATAAACATCTATTAACGTGACTTTGAGTCTGATCATGATTGTCTTGAGCTGCTTTTAAGATGAATCAAGAATCTCAAGACAAAGTGATCCCCATCAATTTGAAATCAGGAGTTTGACTGCTTCCTGCGCTTGTCTTCAGGCGCCGGAGCCGACTTTGTGATGCTGGGCGGGATGCTGGCCGGTCACTCCGAGAGCGGCGGCGAGGTCATCGAGAAAAACGGCAAGAAATACAAGTTGTTTTATGGGATGAGCTCTGACACGGCGATGAAGAAGCACGCAGGAGGTGTGGCTGATTACAGGTGAGATTTTGTAAAACAAAAAGAAAAAACCAGCAGCTTTGTTGTTTTTGAATCTGATCGGTGGGGGGTTTTGCGACGACGGAGTCATGCTTTGTGTTTTTTGCGCCTGCAGAGCGTCGGAGGGGAAGACGGTGGAGGTTCCCTACAAAGGGCCGGTGGACGAGACGATACGAGACGTCCTGGGAGGCGTGCGCTCCACCTGCACCTACGTGGGAGCAGCTAAGCTGAAGGAGCTGAGCCGCAGGACGACCTTCATCCGGGTCACCCAGCAGCTGAACACCGTCTTCGGGAACAGCTAAACGTCCAGCTCCGCCTTCTGATGCCGATTTTCTCCCTGATCTTCCAGATTTCAGTGTTTTCTTTATATAGAAACAAGCTGATAGAAAGCAATTATAAAATACTGACCTTCTTATGCTTGTTTTTAATTCAGATTGACATTTTTAGAAAAGTTTTCCACGTGTATCGCTCTCTTTAGACGTTCCGGGAGTCGCGCTTCACTGAAACAACTAGAGCTTTCATTCCTCAGCTCTTTATTCCAAAGCAAAAATCCTTCACTGTAGTTTATTTTATTTATGCAACATTTAGTCTTTTCATAACAGTAAGCCTGTCATGTCTTCACTGTGTTCTGCTGCAAGCCTTTGTCCCCAGTTTAAGATTTCAAAGCAAATGTCTTAATGCCTATTTTAAAAGATTTTACATTATATGCAAATGTTTTAGCAAATTAGAGAAAAAAAACTATTTTTAGACGCTCTATCATTCCAGCACCCATGTATTGCACTTTTAAAAGGCTTTTTTTGTATGTTGATTGTAATATTAGTGGACCAATAATGGAATATATTAAAAAAGTGTTAAATTAGGAGCAGAGGTACCAATTAATACAGATATATTTCCAGTTTATTTACCAACATTTATATTTATTATAGGCTTCATGATAAGAGATCATTCCTAAGAATTAGTTTTCAAAGAGTTTCGACATCACCTTTACACAGTTCATGTAATTATGATCATTTTTAAACTGTTTTCATCTTTTTCTCTGTTATACATAACCATGGTGTTTTAAATTTGTTGCCAAGTCCTTGAACCTGCCTGGTATTTCTTTTACAGTGAGTTGATAAAACATTCCACGTTTCAGCATTTCTCTGGCTTTATTATTTACAGAAGCAGTTACATTGTCTTTAAAGTGCATTATTTACATGTGTTTATTACCACCAGATGGAGACCAGTATCACATTGAAAGAATAAAGAAATAATTGTTATTCGGACTCAAATCAAGTAGAGAGCTCTCTTTTTGTTTCCTCTTGTTGACTGAAAGCTTGTTGAATGAGTCTAACTTTCCAAACAGGAAATATTCATGTGCCGTTTTCCAGTCCTGGATCTTTAGTCTCCCACAGTGACAGACTTTTTGGCTTGGAGGATGAACTGACACTGAGAGGGTGGAAATTGGTATTTTTGTTCCATTCGTAGGTTTCTTTCAAAAGTGTTTATGTGAACATATTTTTTGCACTTTCCATTTGTAGGTTTAATTTCTTACAATTTTTTTTTATGTAAACAGAAAAGCTTTTGTAAGTTTTTGTGTTCGCATAAAAACAACTTCAGTAGTGAATGACTGTAGTAATTAAAACACCCGGTGGCTGTTATGTACGGAGAGCCGTTTCAGCCAAAATTAAATAAATAGAGAAAATAAATCAATAAATGAGTAATTGGCATCTTTATTCCCATTTATATTTGTTCATTTACACATTTTCTTATTCCCACATTTATTTTACCCTTTTATTTACTGTTTTTACTCAATTTTCGCTATTATTTAATTTTGGCTGAAATGGCTCTCCATACATCACACTGACATAGTTAATGTAGTTTATTTACTCCCACATTATTTTGGGTATGTTCAGTTTTTTTCTATGCATTTTTTAATGTTCTGTCAGATTTCACCCATGTGTTTACAATATCAATCCATAAAACTGCTAACAGATGTCATTCTACAGAATATTTAAAACATATTCAGCGCTTTGGAACTCTAACATAGTTTCATGTCATGAGTAAAAACATGACAGTATTTTATTGGAAGTTTATGGGATAGACTAGAGTACTTTGGTCCCCTCAATACTTTGTAGATAGTCTGTCATGAGTACGTCTGGTTGTCCAGTCAATTTTCCACCTTCAACTTAGAATAATATGTAGAAAAGTATGTATATTTATGTGGATTTCATTTCAGATGTTGCATCTATTGAAGAGATGCATATTTATTGATTTGAGAACTTGGTGGCCTGTGAATGTAGCAAGATGTCATTATGTGAATTTGGAACAATTTGTGATTATGTTATTAAAATGAAAGTTTTACATAAAATTGGTTGAGAATCCAGTTCACACTTAGGGGAAACGTTCTTCTTCAGCCCCTCTTTTTTATTGATTGCTGGAGCTACAGGTTTCAAACATTTATATAAAATAACCATCTGCTTGTAGTCTTTTGTTTGCCTTATTTGCCCAATATATTGTAATCATGTACATCTAAAATCTTCTCTTAAATCAACTGTGATTGACTTTATAATTGTAGTCTGGTGTAGAAAGGCAGCCTCTTTCTGCAACTGTAATGAAAACTCATTATCATTTTAACTGTGCTGTATCATTATTATGAGAAGTTGATATTACCATAACTTTTATTTAACTGTAGAAAAAGTTACAAAAAGAAAATGAAATAAAAGGAAGATAGTTGAGGACTTGATTAAATTTTTTTTAACTGTTTTCATCTTCTTTTTTTCTGCTACACATGTAGGATATTTCTGCTGTATAAAGTGTCATATTGTATAATAAAACTACCAAATATTTCTTTCACACTGAGTCATTAAAACATTTCAAGTAGCAGCATTTCTCTGATTTTATTCTTTAATAAAGCAGTTACATTGTTTACAAACTAAGTTGCCTTTATAACCACTAGATGGAGACAAAGATCATTTGGATGGGATGGAGAATACATATTTGTTTAAATCCCAAACCACATTAGTGTTGATTCATCAAACTAATGATGATGAACCGACTGCAGTGAAAAGTATAATAAAGATTCAAATCAATCAAAATCCTCCAGTAATTGTGTTCATATATTCACAAACAACCATCAATCACGGGTCACATAATGCTCATTAGTTGGCAGTAAAAGTTATGATTAAAGTTACAAACAATTAGCAAAGCTCACAAACAATTTCAGTGATGAACTGGCCACTGAATATTTTTCCACAGTTGGGGCAACTTGCCTGGTAAGACCTGTTAAATAAACTTCTGAAAGAGATGCTGCAGCCACAAGAGCATTTCCATTCCTGCATGGAGGAGCTCTGGGTATTTTCCTTTCCCAACCTAACAAAAGGAACCAGCTCACATTTGTTGGGTGTTGCTTCAATTATGACTATTTTTTCGCTCTGGTACTGTCCAGTTCTGCTGAAAAAGGAGAGCCTGGAGGCTTTGACATCCCAAAACACTTCCACCATTTCAGGTTGGGGTATGTCCATCACTTTCTTCTTCTTCTCAGATCTGGGGACTGGAGACAGTTTCTTAAGTTGTATCTCTGACGTACCAGGATGTGCATGGTTCTTAACACAGCTCAGGTGGTTATCTTCACAGACCAGTCCATAGACTGGTCCATTCATCGGGTTATTTGCAGACTTTTTATCACACAAACCAATCATCCAATCACCCTCACTGGGAAGACTGAGGATCCATCTCTGATGGTTGGGAACTGACTTGGTGCTTTGGATTAGAAAAATACCAGAACATTGACCCAGCCAGGTGTTGTAGAAAATTCTCCTTTTGTCTTTGGACATGGACATGCTGAAATTGAAAGTCTGGGGTTCAAAGATCAGATCTGAAGAATCATTGACATCCAGATGGCTTTCAGGATCAACCAGGGTCAACGATGATACTAAAAAGTTGGACGCTTGGTTCACCATCTTCTCCCCGTTCTGTCTTATCTCCAGAACCAGTTTGTCCCGTTGGAGGCCCGGCTCTAAGCCTTTCCTCAGATCCACAGCCTTGGCTTTCTCTACATCCTGGTTCACCTGAGAGTACATCTGCAGGAATCTGAAGGTGTCTTTCTCGTTCTGTGCTGCCTGCATGCTGCTCCTGCTGGTTCTGATGGACACCATTCGAGCAGAGACTGAACTTTGGACACTGGTCAGAGAAACGTCCCGCAGATTCGTCACAGCCTCGATGAGACGCACGCTGCTGCGAGCCAGCTTCTCTCTTTCACTCTTCTCCCACTTCTCCAGACTCATGTTGTCATCCTCAGTTTTCACCTGTAAGTCCTTCTGCTCAGCTTTCAGCTTCTCCAGGAGCTCTTTGTGGGCCGTGGAGAAGGTCTTCATGTTGTGAAGACGGTGCTGGTCTTCAATGGCGCAGGAAACGCACACACAGGTCTGATCATCCAGGCAGTAGTACTCCAGGAGCTTCCCATGCTGGGGACATTTGGTGTTGCTGTCTATAGCCATGGGCTCAGTCAGAGGATGAGTCTGCAGTAACACAGGTGTGGTGAGGTGGGCCTCCAGGTGCTGGACGCACATGGAGATCTCACATTTCATGCAGGTCTTCCGTGCTACTTTCCTCTCCTCCCCTGCACACATGTCGCACAGAATGCTGGATGGATCTTTCTGGACAGCGTCAGACATGTTCGCAGGAAGATCCGATTCCACGAAGGAGTTGTTCTAGCGTTTCTTTCCTTGCTTAAAGATCCTGAAGCAAGTGTCCTCGAAAAGTGTAATGTGTCTAACTCCTCTCAGTTAAGTCATCAGCTCTTTTATTTCCTGGTTAATAATCCACCCGCACTGATCATAAAAAAACGTTATTGCTTAGCGACAGTAAAAAAGAACAATGGTGTCATTGAATGAAAAAATGATTTACAGTTCTTATCAATGTGGAACAGTCAACAATACTGTAAATGTAAATTCAGTTAAAACTAAAGCACTGTAAATGTTCGTTTATTCATTTATTTTTTACTGAAACCATTTTCAAAAGAATATCAACATTCTGGAGGTCTAAATAGTGTCTCGCAAAACCTCTTCATATTTTTTTCACATGTACAGCTACAAGCCTCTTTGTGTCTGATTGGGATTTCATACAACAGTCCAACACAAGGTATTGCATGTTGTGAAATGTAACCACAAACCCTTCTTCCACAGGTTTCTGTGGCCCGGCCTATCGCAAACTGCAGATGGGAATTTCTTTCAACAATGACTTTTATTTTTTTTCTTACCACTCTTCCATGAAAACATGGCTGTAGAGCTTCAGTATGTCACTTCAGAAGGAAATAGTTTCAGCATACCTTATCATTTTTAGATCTCAGAGTACCTTTTCATTTGCAAAAAGTTTGACAATCTTGTGTCCATCTGAGCTGTTACATAAAATAAAGTAAAAAGTGCATCACGAAGTGACAAACTGGGAAACAACACAAGAGGTTTGAATGTTTCTTTTTTTCCCATTGATTAGCCCTTAGATGGAAGTTTAACCAATCTAAAAATCTCCATTTTTAGAAGACAAACTTCTACAGTGTTAAAGTCAGTCCTTATATTTAGAATGAAATTGTGCCATTAACTGTTTTATATCGCAGAGAGCTGACCATAATTATTTTACCTCCCTTGATTTAAAAAAAAATGCTTATTTTAAGGGAAAGTTACAACGTGAGCAGCACTAGCTCGCTCGATTTTGCGTCAGGTGAGAAGACATGTTGGTTCACAAGATTAGCAGGAGCTAAAGGACATACTTTCCCCCGCTTTGGTCTGACCCGGTCGAAGGACGTAACAAATCCGGCTTAAAACAAACAGGCAAGATCGACTTTTTTGTGCTCTCACTGTTGGGAAACTCAAATGCTAAGAGACTCAAATCTTAGCCGGAGAGCCGTTGATGGCTAAAGCTAACGAGGCTCCGGCTAGCTAAAATGATACGCGAAACGCGCTCGAGCTAACAGACGAACCAATTAGCTGACATACTGTAAGTAGTTATGAATAATGAACACGATGTTGGTTCAGTTAGCGTTGTTTTTAGGATATACACCGCGGGTCAAAAACGATACAATTAATTATTGAAGCAAACTGCTGTTCCGTTTCTTCTCTCTTTCTTCGCCATTGGACTAAAAGTTCCAACGTTACTTTGGTGGGTCGATATTAAACCCGTCCGCTTGTCGTCCTCAGATCTGATTTTGACAGTTTTCTGGCTTCCATGTGTGTCACTAAATAACTAATCTGGGCCAGTTGAGTTTCTTCACTTTCAGCAACTTAACTTTTCAGAAGTCCACGGAAAAATATAGCTGTGAATGTGTACCTTTTATTTTCTCTTGTAGCACAGGTGAGCGTCAAAGAACACAAAAGGGAGCAGAAGCATTCAAAAGGAGGCTGAAACATAAATCTTTCACATTGTAATTTTCTCTTAAAACGTCCTATCTCCATTGCTGAAGGTCACTACGCAGACTAGACTGTGAACCGTGCAAAGGTTGGTCTGTCTCATAAGTAATTAGAGCAATTCGGGCAACTAGAGTCAGACTGATTTTTGCCACTGATTCAGAAAATAGAAAACTACAATTAGTTCACATGCTGTATGTGTCTAACCTCTCTGTTCGTCTACTTTGCATAGCAGTTGACTACGATGAGGCAACTCGCTGACAGAACCAACATCAAACCCATACAGACCCCCAGTTCTCTGGAAGGCAGCCAGTCGGCGTTGGGTATCACAGTGCCTCTGTGGAGCACCCGCATATGTCTCCCCCTGCTCTCTGAGGATAAAAGGGTGTTGTGGGTTCATGCAAACGAGGTAAACGTGCAGACGGATAAAGTGGCGGAACTCGAAAATGCCTTTAGCAGGTCCCCCTATCTGACACGCAAACAGACTAATGCTCTCGCCCAGCGCTGCTCCCTGCATCCAGACCAGGTGAAGGTTTGGTTTATAGCGCAGAGGCTCCGCTACGGCATTAGCTGGGACTACAAAGACATCAGGGAGATCTGGAACAAGTTGAACTCCAGTCGCGAAGACGAGGAAGGAGATGAGGAGTTCCAAGACAACGTGAAGGACAACCAAGGAAAGGGCAAGAAGATGTCTTTGATGGAACGAAATGTGAATTGGAATACAGAGCAGGAGAGACCAATGGAAAAAGAAACGGGTAGAAGAGCGACGGTGGACGAAGCCGCCACTCCAGACAAGCGGAGAACAATTGGGGTCATGTCGAACAGGAGAAGGAAAAGAAAGAAACGAGACGTCGAGTGGATCACCGATCAAGCAGAAACACTAGGAGCGAAAATGGCTGAGAATGAGGAGCAAACATCCAGCACATGGGAAGGAGCATATGTCTCCAAGAAAAAAAGAAGAGCACACACAAAACTGATCTCCAGCCCAGATCAAACCGACTACGAGAACCTTCTTGTCGAGGCTGAAATCCCGTTTGTTGACTTTTCTTCCGTCGTTCTCCAGCCTCAAACTCAAACCTCTACCGCCGTTCCCATAACAGAGAGCCAGGCAGATTTGCAGGGCAGAAGGATAACTTTGCTGAAGAGCAGCTTGGAGAACACTGACGCACTGGCTTGTCTGGAGAAAGCTCTGTCTTCTGAACCGGCAAAGGAAAACGACGTCGTCTCCGAAGTGGATGAACTAAAGGAGCTCGTTAAGGCTGAAAACAACTTTCTTGCTGCGAGCAGTCCGACTGCTGGGACCAGTCAGAAGGAAGGTCTCTTGACAGAAGGGGCAGTGCTGCGTCCCCGGAGCAGACTGAAGACGCAGTCTCAGCTGCTGATGCTGAGGAGGGCCTTCCTGGAGTTCCAGTATCCCGACGCCGAGCAGTACAGCTTGTTGACCAGGCTGGTCGGCATACAGCGCCACCATCTGGTGCAGTGGTTCGGTGACCGCCGTTACTCGATGAAAAAATCCAAACCTCGCTGGATGACGGAGGAGCAGTACAAGGAGATACTGACCAACATCAGGTACCGGCAATATAAAAACATTCTGCTGAAGGGACTGCTGAAGGAAACTGAATGACGGCACGGCCTGGATTATTGCAGGCTGAGAAGCAAAGTGCAAAAAAGCCTCTTCTGACATATAAACTTGAGAAAAAGATTTTCAACAGGTCCTTTAGATCTTTGTTTTGTTCTTATACTTTCAGTTTTTGTGGCCGAGTTTGTTCGTGTTGAAATATTGCAGCTGAGGTGCAACTTTATGTTAGTGAGCTTGTTTAAGCTGTACAAATGTTGTTTTTTAAATACCAATTCAAGTAAAAATCACTTTGAATAAGAACCTCTAAATGGTGATTGTTTTTTTTTTCCAACTCTAAACTATTTATACATTCCCTTCTGAAAACGGCAGAGTTAAACAAGTATAGCAGAAATGTAGGAATGTTTCATTAAATGATACATCGGGGATTCATGTTTCTTAATCCTGATGTAAATCCAACTACGTTTTTCCTGTTTTAGGTCAGTTAGGATAACAAAAAAAAAAACATTCATATTATCTAAATGCCAGATAAAAGACCGGAGTAAGAAATTGTTTAGAGATTTGTTAAGATTTCAAGTCTACTACGTACATTAAATTAAAGATCTCTTTCCAAATGTAAAACATGCCCTCTTGGTTTACTGAAATAACATTTTGACTAAAGTGAATTAAAGTTTTAATCAGTTACATGCATATAATTGCTACGCATATCTTTGATTCATTTATGTGAATGTTAACATTTTTAATTTGGTAAATTGACTACAAGCATCACATTTCTAAAAAAAATGTATTTCACAAATTGCTGGAATTGTGGCAATTTTTGGTCATATATAACAAACATTTACGAAGAAAATAGAAAAAAAAGAAAGGGAAATTTCAAGAATATTACAAAAAAATATATTTCACAAAATAATTTCCAAAAATATCAAGAATAATACAATATTTATGTTCTTACTAAGCTACATAGTGCTGCTCTAACTTGTTTTTGTTCCCTCCAACCTGTTTTTCACTTTTAGGCTTTAGAAATACTGTCATGCCACAAATCACTGTAAATGATATGATCAACATTCAGGCCTCAAAAGATCCCTGAGATCAAACTGGAAGGCCTTGAAGGTCTTTTTGGCTCTGCCTGGTCACACGTCTGATTGTGATGAGACGTCGTTTCTTATTGTGACATGGAAAGCAATCGCAACATTCAAAAACCATTCAAGACATTCTAAAAGAATGAATACTCACTCATTAAAAATACAAAATTATGCATCCATTGATATTGTGTGTTGTTTCTGATTGGAGGAAATCATATTCAATTTTTAGTACTGTTACCCAGTTAAATCTCTAATTGTAGACAAAACATAGTCATTTTGGGTCAGGGTTTTAATGCCAGGTGGCTGCGTACTCGGCCCTCTGCGGTTGCCAGAGCTCGGTGCCTTCGATGACGCGGCGGATCATGGACGCGGAGGTGATAAGCAGGTGCCCAGCGGCCTGAAGTAGGGTGGAGGCGAGACGCAGCACTTCTCTGAAAACACAGTCAACGTCATACACTTATCAGCTTTAGATGGCTCACTAAGTACATGTAAGATTTGTACAAGCTTGAGTAATTCTAACCCCCGATGAAAATTTTTGGCGTCAACAGAAATCTAATTTGAATGTCCTTAAATCTAGAAAACAAGCTCAGTTTTGAAATGAATAATTCTCAGAAAAGTGTTGTGTATCAAAACAAAACAAAAATCCAAGCATTTTTCAAGCGTTTAATATGTTAGAAACACAATGATAAGCTTTTTTAAAATATAATATATTAAAAAATATTTGTACTGCTCCTCTGTCATCGATATTTCTAGGCTTTCGGTCACAACCTTTGGATTGATCTTCGTAACCTTTTGAGAGCCATTGAGTACTACTTTATGAGCTAAAGAAAGCATTACCAACACCAAGAAATGCATTTTATGAGTTTGGAAAATGAAATAATTTGACTGTAAGTTTCTGGTTTTGGAAAGATTTACAGGCGGGAAGGTGCCACTTCATAGCATTCGTGAGCCACTTACCTGAAGACCTTCTTGGGCCCCAGACATTGAAAGTCGGCGCTCACGGAGTACAGGCCTTGGAATGTGGCCTTCACACTGAGCGAGCCAAACACATCCTTGGGGCTCAACTTGTAAAGGTCGAAGGTGACTTGTGCTATGTCTCTGCCGGTGCGAGGCTTGTTGTTGTTTCTTAGCACAACTGTACCCTGTGGAGACAGAAGCGACGGCTCAAACCCAAAGTGATGGAGGAAATGTTCAGGAGGAAGAAAACAAATCTAGACACTAGGGGCCTCTTGAATGGCGTCGGACTTACTGCTTGCGGTTTCCATGTCTGTCCTGGCTCTAGGGCCATGAGCACGGTGTTGTCCGCTAAGGTCATGAGGAACTCATCAGAGTCCACTTCTGTACCGTCCTCCTCACAAACCAGGTACACAGATGCTGCAGAAATGGTCAGCAACAAAGCCTGGCACACCTAGCAGACGGTATCATTGCTCTCAGTTAGGAAGAACCTCAGCTTAGGCATCACCACAAATCCACAAAGCTGGACGCACAATTGTGTTTAAGCCAGGCAGGGAAATTACATTCAAATCCACTGAAATATGTTAAAAACTGGCTCACAGCTGCCACTGAGAGTGAGTAGAAGTTGCTTGCTCAGTGTGTTACCCTAGTTTGAATGTAGACGTAATATATATTTGCCTAAATATATTGTAGAGCATATGTCCTAACCTTTTCACAAAACTGTAAGTCATAGTTGCAACAGATAATGCATTTTTGTTTAATTTAAATCTGAAGCCTTTCTTTAACTCTTAATTTCATCATAATTTATGATGTTATTAGGCAACTGATGTTGCTCTCACTCTCTCTTTCAGCTCCTCCAGGGTTCCTGCAGTGATCCCTTTCTTGGTCTCCCTTCTGTTACAACAGATTCTGAAAGGTCGCTGGGGTGGGGACCAGACCCGCTTTGTCACAGACCTGACAATAAAGCAGAGAGGAAAGCAAAGAAATGGTGTTAATGTTTTTGTTGTTGTTTTACCCCAGGTTCTGACATCTTGACTTTATATAATAAAAAAAGCAAAGGTCCTTTTTTAATTGCACATAATGTCTGATTCTGATTTCAGACTAATCATCCTAACCTTTATGGGGCATCAACCAATGAGAATCGAGTCAAAGCAGAGTTTTAACTTACTTGAAGAACGACGACGTTGAATCCATTCTCCTCACTTTCCTGCTCTCTCGTCTTGCTTGTCGGATGTTTTGCTGTGACTGAATGACTCTGTGTGACCCATGAGCTGGACTTTGCCTCAAACCGGTCGATAATGCAAAAGCAGAACAGAGAAGGGCAAAGTTTATGCTGGCTGTGACTAAGTCAAACAGATCATAATACCTATGATAACTGATATGGGAGGGTAAAGCTAATTAACTCTGACAATTTTTCACTTCAATTAACATTTCATAGAAGAATCTCTTTAATGTGGACAAACAAACTTCGGTTTTAGTTTGTTTTTCATCAAATTCAGCTGCCATGTAATTTGTTTTTGTTAACCCGCCATTTTTCAAAGTAATCTGATAAAAGAGCCTGCTTTTGCTTACATCACCTACATATATTCTGTTATGGGACTGAAGTTGATATTTTGACTGAGGCAAATCACTTATCCCTGTTAGCTACCTCAAGAAATCAGCACAACACTATAGAGATTTCAACTGTAAAAGAGAAACCTACGTTGGTGTCCAACAACTTTGCAATGTGGCCTTTGGGTTGCTTGTTCTTCCGCATATTTGAGGTGTTTTCCAAATGTATTCATTCAAAACGATCAAAAACATGTACGGCAAGCAAAAGTGAGAGTGGCAGTAATCTTGGATTTAATTTATCTTAATGTTTTCATTTTTATTATAGCTATCTGCATTGCTTCAAGCCTGCTTGTGAAATGTTTTATTACTCACGTTGAGTACAGCATTAGACACACCTGACAATCAGCACCAAGGCAGAAAAACTGTGAAAAGAAACATCTAAATCTCAACACATTTGATCTTTATGTCCTGCTAATGTATGCACAGTTATTCATAATGATTCAGTTGAATTGCCTCGCAATACTTTTATTTATTACTTTTACCTCCTCCCCAACCCAGCTTCCAAACAAATCAAACACCTACAGGGTAGTGAATAATAATAAAGAATAAACCCATTATTATTATTATTATTATTATTATTGTTGTTGTTGTTGTTGTTGTTATTATTATTATTTATTGGTGGTATCAAAACAAAAATGAAGTGAACATATGGTAAACCCGTTATGTCTGTGGGCTGGTGCGAGTTGAACAGATCTGGCGGGTGAAGTTACTACGTCATATCCTGAAAGTTATATTAGGTGCGCTCAATTATTAATTCTTAGTTCCCGCCCGAGCGGAGTTTGGAATTTAGCCCATGTTTCGCATAGAGACCCAGGAAGCACCGCCCGGTCGGTACGTTCCGTGAGGTTATTCAAACTGATACCGACAGCTCCGTGAAGGCGGGAGGCAGAGCGGAACTTTTGACAGAAACTTGTCCAGTTTGCGCTGGTGACTGATTGACAGCAAACGGCGCGGTTGTTGCTTCTCGATAGTCGCTTTAAATCCACGCGAGACGGTGAAAGTTAGCTCAGTTGTGTTTGCAGACCGATTTGGCTAACCTTCGACCTAAGCTCTGCGTCAGTTTTCCGCAGTAACTTGACACTGCTAAGCTAACTTTTAGTAACCTCATATATAAATAAATACATATCTATTTTTAGCTAAACGGATTCTCTGGGATGGCTACAAGAAAACCGAAGGAAAGTGGTGAGTGGAAAACTGAACTTTTAGACTTGCTAAATGTTTGTCACTCGCTAACGTTGATAAGCTCTGTTGAAGTTTGTCAAAGTTGATGTTTTGGTAGTTCTGACTGACTGCAATACACTCTACTGCAACTCATTGTTCTGGAAAAAAACCTCAAGTTTGTTGGAAGGCATCAGTGACGAAATTGCCATGGAAACCATGCGGAACAGCACGCCAGAGATAAAGTTATGGGGACGTTTAAAGCAGATAACATTTAGGTGCTCGAGTTTTACTTGCATACCTCTTCACACCTGAATCAAATCATTAACAGGTTGACCAACTTCAGGTGTGGGAGAAGAGAGGTTTGCGTGGGCATTTCTTCAGGCTCAAGGAAAAACCTGGCTCCACAGAGTCGAATGCAAATGAGTAAAATCCAAACAAATGGATGAAATTAACTTTTAAGAGGCAGAGATTTGAAGAGGAGTGGCAAAAGCAAATGATGTGGCCGAGCAGTCCTTCCCAACAGTTTCATCGAGGACACGCTGCTGTGAAATATGGTGCATCGTGACAGTGTAATACAGCAACAATCTCTTTCTTTTTTTTTTTTCCCTTTACAGATGCCAATCTTCCCTTTGCTGCTCTCCAGCTGTTGGCCCCTCCCGTCCGCCTGGTGTCGGCGGCGCTCTGGAAGGTGCTAAAGCAGAGGGATGTGATGCAGTACGGGGTTGTGGAGGAGTTTGTGTCTTCGGCCTGCGAGACCGTTCCTGGCCTGCTCACCCAGCGACACCAGGGCAAGCTGGTGCTGGGCCTGAGAGCGCGGGTGACTATTTACTGCAGGATGAGTGGTAATTATAAGTCTTCAGTTTTTCATTCTAATCCGTTTTCCTTCTTTCGTTTCAGTTAATATTAGAGTTGTGTCTCAAACAGCCAGACGTTGACGTGATTGCACCACATCTGGAGAGGATCCGCGTTCCTGCTCCTCCTTCGTCTGGATCAGCCCCGGTAAAATGGAGATGGAGTTCAAATTTACTTTTTGTTTCTGCACACATGTCTGATCACTGGTCTTTTTAACCATCCATCCATATCCATCTATCTTTCTGCATATTTTGCTCATTTTACACTGCAACATGGACTTGCTCATAGAGAACTCTAATATATATATATATATATATATATATATATATATATATCAATAAATCCTAGTCTCAGTAAAGAAAAAAAAAGAGTAGTTTTAAAGTCCACTATTCAATGGCTTGTCTTATATGTCTTTGTGGTCCCTTGTCTTCCAGAAGAAGGATGTGAAAATTCAGAGAACGGTGGAAAGTTTCCATTTTTTCGTTCAAACGCTGTTAACAAATAAAGCAGAGAGAGAACACTTCTTTAAAGTGAGTATTACATCCACCAACGCCCTACTGAGTATAAACACCTGACACAGTGAGCAGGTGATCATTGTTGTTTTTCTCCAACAGGAACAGTTTCCCACTGATTATGGCCCAAAGTTTGACCAGGAGCTGGAGAAGCTGTTGTGGGAATTTCTGATTCGACTAGACCAGTTGCTCCCGGTTCCCAACCTCGCCCAGGTAGGCATCGACACTCGCACGTCACCTCTGGTGTTACCGTGTATTGTCGTAGAGTAAGAATGTCAGCAAGACGATGTGATTACAGACGGTGTCATGGCTGTGTGACGCCCCTCCTGTCCTGGAGGAGTGTGCACAAGCAGCAACTCAGCCACAGCTTCTCAGGATCTTACTCCAACATCAGGCTTGTCTGGGTCACGTGGAGCCAGCAGGTAGGATCAGGAACATTTGGGTTTATTGTTTTGCCCACCTGGATTAGAATGAAGGAGAGAGCATTTTATTTTTCCAAACAAATTAACCGAATTGGTTCTCGTATTGTTAAATGCATATTTTCACACTTTTAAAGTCAGTTGTCATTCACTGTGGGGCTTAATGCAAAAGAAAAAAAGTTTTTATTTTATTTTATTTTTTTTATGAATGTAGTTTTTAAGAAACTAAGATATTTGAATGTCCGATTCAATAAAAACATGGAACAATGGTAAAATGGTTATTTTTCCAACTTTGCTGGAAAAAACCAGTGGCGTGCCACTGGTTTTTGCAACCAGTGGCACGCCAGCTCCATATTGAAGAATATGCAAAATAAAGACAAGTTTTACATTAATGTCACTGTTGAGAAATAATTATTGCTCTACAACGTAAGGTCAGCTTGATATTGCAGAAAGCTTCATAGGTGAATTAAAACTGAACTGATTTCTGTAAATTGACATGAATTTGATGTCTGACTGTGTTCCTCACACCTGGAAATGTATGAAATTTGTTTTGTGTAAGATCTGAATAATTGTGTGTAGAAGATAATATAAGACACATGTCTGATCACTGGTCTTTTTAACCATCCATCGCTATCCACCTATCTTTCCATACACAGTGATAATTTATAATCTGTTTCCAAGAACTCTTGAGATCTTATTCTTCAAATGTGGGGGATTCTGACTGGACAAAATACGTAGAAACTCTAAATCCTTACAAGACTTTTTCTCTGTGTTGTTTCTGTGTCGCAGCGTCTCTACCTCCAAACATGGGCGACTCCATCCTGGCTTCTCTCTCCCTGCCTCCATCTGGAAAAGTCCCATCGGATCCGTCATCCGCTGAGCGGACAAACTGCTCAAGGCCGGGTGCGACCACGCCATCGGTCGCACCCGTAATCGGACTCATTTCCAGGGAAAAAGCCTCGCAAGGTGGTGAGAAATCCAACTTGAAAGACGCAAGAGATGATCAACGGGATCCAAATGCGAAATTCACCTTAGTCAAACAGAAACCCGAACTTGTTGGCGTGAGTGGAAGGAAACGCAAGCAACCAGACACAGCAGAAAGTGACTCTGAGGACGAAGTCATATCTGGAGAAAAAAGCATCAACAGGAACCAGAAAACCAGAGAAAAATCGCAAACTTCACAAAACAACGGCTACAATAGAGAACTCCTAAATAGACATATAAGTAAGCTGGGCATCAAAAAGCTGCACCTGCCTGAAGATCCGTCCATTTGCTCCGTGTTTGCTTCCTGCCTGAGCAGCAATCCCAGAGTCGTTATCAAAAAGCTGTCAGTTTCTTCTGCTGGCGTCGGCTTGTCTGGAGGAGGGAAGTCCTTCTCTGAGGAGCAGCAGCAGCAGCAGCAGAAGTCCTCGACGTGGAAACAAGCAAGTGGCTGTCAAACGCCTGAAAGTCCTGGCCTGGATGACAAAGAGTAAGGTTAAAACAACAAGCTGCCAGTCGGCCTCCAGGAATAAAACTTTAATCGGTTAAAATTACTTATTCTATTCTGGGTTTTGTTTACCAGTTGTTGATAATCTGTTATTGATCTATGTTGTTATCATTTGAATGTGATAATCACACTTTAACGTAGCAATGCACCAAGTAATCGATTGGGTTCATACTCTGTCCCCACGTCTGCAGATATTTACATGTTTTAAACGTTTTGTTGGCTCTAGTGGCCTTTATTTGAAAGTAATTTCAAATAAAGGCCACAGGAAACGGGTAATGAGAGAGAGGGAAGACATGTGGCAAATGTCGGCAGGACTAAAGGATCAAAACTGAATTAAACCTGCGACCACCGCCGCGAGGACTGAGGCCTCAGTACGTGGGTCGAGGTTTGCCCCTGTGCCACCACAGCGCCCCCACGTCTGCAAATTTAAAACTTTACGTTGTCAGTTTTCCAGATCTGGATAGGTATGGAGAAAGGAAAGCTGAGGATGGAAAACTGCTAGTTTCAAAACTTCATTCAATACTCTGTTATCTGGAAGCTTACAAAAAAAGAGATCAATAAAATTACAAAAGTTCAAAAGTAAATTCTGTAGCAGTTTCTAAAATTGCATGTTTTATTGTTGAGGTACAAGCAGAACTAAGGTCAAAGGAAAATGTTAGTATTTAGTGTAAAATAATCCATTTAAGTTTGCATTTATTTACACCTCCATCTCAAAAGATTTTGATTTGACAGTTTCTTCAAATTTTCAGTGATGCAAGTAAAGCTCCGTGGCTGTGGGGCCGTTTCTCAGGCAGTTTCAGCTTTATTTGACAGTTCAGTGGGATAATGTTCATGGTTCTGTTATCTAAAATCTCTGAAATATAAATCTGTATATTTGCCTAAAGAACACTGTGCATCCAAACATTTCTCAGGAGTCGCTGAGGTTTACGATCCTGGACATTTTAATGTTTGCTAAGAGTGTAAAATTCTAATTAAATTCATCTGCAAAAAATAAATATATTTTTCACACTAGTTTCTTTGAGCTCATCTTTCTGTTAAATAACATCAATTAGATGAGTTTAAGTGAACTAGATTTAAAAAAATAAATAAAACTGGGTCTGTTTTATTTATTTTTTGACCAAACCTTTGTTTGTTTGACAGAAATCAGCCGGTTTTATCCAGTGGGAGCAGCTCGTCCTCCCAGCAGAGGACTCCTGCAGGTGATTAAACTCATTAAATAACTTCATTATATGGGTGAAAAAGTAACTGACCAGTTCCAGTAGGTTTGGACCGTCCGCTGCACCGCGTTATGCCTAACTCCGCATGTTTGTGTGTGGAAATCGTTTCTCTGTCAGGAGACGACTACGTAGCGGATTCTGAAGATGAGGCGTCGAAGAACTTCAAAGGGAGGGTATGTATTCACCAAATAATAAAAATGAAGGCATAAAAAGTTCCTACTGTCTGAGAGTAATGAAGCTGATTTGTATATTCCCCAAATCTGGATAAGTGCGATGAAATATAATGAATAGAAAATATTTGTATTTTCAATTCCGTTTTGAAACGTGTGAAAATAGTTCAAGTCTGACAAGTTTTTAAATAGAGGTGCCATAATGGCAACATTTTTTTTTCTTCCACCATCCACCTCAAAATTTTAGTTTATAATTAGAATTTTTTGTGTCTTTTGGCTCACAGAGACTGGTTCCCTTGGAAATTGAAAGGAGGATTTATGAGGGGATAATTTGAGATGTTCAGTCTATTTTCACAATTTTCTGTCCACCAGTCCCTGAATGCATCTTTTCACCCTCATTCTTTCCTTTTATCCGACAGTCTTTGAATGCACCTGCAACATGTCTATTTCTCTATGTGCTTCCATTTATTCTTTCATTCATCCAGCAGTCTGTGCATCTTTCCATCCACTTTCATCTGATTTTATCCACCTGTCAATGTCCCAAATCTCTCTGTCCATCAAGCTTGAGTTTATTTATCCATTGTTCCTTTCGTTCTGCTCTAGGAACACTTGTTTACTTTTTACGCTGAGGACTATTTGCAAAATCAAAACACTTCATGAAAATATTAAATCTTTGAATGTCCCTCCGTGTTTCTTCTGGTGTTCTATCAAGTTGTCATTGTGCCTAGCCAAACACATAATTTCAAACTCTTACCAAAGTCCTCCTCACACGTCAACGTGTCTCCTGTGCTCTACCTCCCCCAGCTGTTCATGAAGCGTTACTACAAGACCAAGCACGGCACATACGTTCCCACCCTGAGGGAGTTCTGGAAACCCGGGGCGGCCCGACCGGACCTGCTGTCCGTTGGCAGAGAACACAGCAGATAAGACATTCAGTGTTTCACAGCCTGGAAACTAAAGCATTACATGATGCGTGTTGTTTGACTTTTATCCCACCTTCTGCTAAATAAATGAAACCGTCTGAAATGCAGCTGTCACTGCAGTTTAGTCCGTTGCCAGCCAATAAAAACTGTTTGACATTTTCTGCGTGTTAAATGTGATCAGAATGCAAAAAGTGAAAGTACGCCTTCCACTACAAAGATATGAATTTATGTATATATAATGTATACAGGCACAGAATACAGGGACTGCAGTTTTTTATGCTGTGAAGCATTGCTGCAAGTTCATATTCCCAACTCCAACATCAGGGATATTCCTTACCTGCGGTCTAGGGAGTTACTCCGTGCACTAGCGGAACATGTCGGCATGGAGCTGGGGTAAATGACCGGGCCCTTTATACCCAAATAATAAAGCTCATGATGATTTAACTATACAACACAGACATGCAAGTTTCACCACCGCAGAGAGCGACTCTGTCATTCTGAAATCCATCTGACGTGAAGCACAGCAAACCAAGAGAACAACAGAAACATCAGGCTGCTGGTCACGAACGATGAAACACAAATACAAATCGGTTCAGAACCACAAATGGGTTCGGATCATTTTGACTCTTTATTCAATTTCAACTCAGAGCCTGGAGCAGCTAGCAACTGCTGAAACTTAATGGTATCTTGTTATAAACTCTCATCTATATCAGCTTTATCAATGATGACTTATGTACAGATCCAGTAGGTAGGCCAAAGTAAATGATGGAAAAACTGGACAAGGATAAAATTTGAAAGAAATTATAAATGGGTGTGAAGTCAGACAAGGTTCAGAGTCGACAGCTCATCCCTCCCGTCACCGTGACGGTCTCTCCTGTGATGTAGGAAGCGTCTTCGGAGCACAGAAAGGCAATCGTCCCTCCGATCTCTTCAGGTTCTCCAATCCTGAAGCAGCAGATAAATGAACACAATTAGTCCACAGATTCAGCAGCTCCACTGCAACGGGTTAAACTAAACGTCACCTCTTAATGCTGAGCTGCTTTTTCAACTCATCCACAATGTCTTTGTTTTCCCACAACTGGAACAAGAAAAAAAAACAAAATCACAGTCCCATATGGGAATCAAGAACTCTACAGCCCTGAAGATCCATGAAGCGTTGGTGTCCTTACTGCAGAACTGAAGCGGGTTTTGATGATTCCAGGGGCCACGCAGTTCACCCTGATGTTACTGTGAGCCAGCTCAGGAGCCAGCGCCTTGGTTAGACCCAGCAGGGCCGTCTTACTCACACAGTAGGGGCCCAGGCCCTGCAGAGAGACACAGCAGGTCGGTTTTACGAGACCCAGACGACACTCGGGTCTCAAGAGGGACTAGGAATGATATGATATGAAGTTCCTCCAATCATCCCAAATACATAGTTTTTTCAGTTTTAAACGCCATTAAAGGTGGCATTAAAAAGATCTTCAAAAGTCTTAAATGAAACCAGAGCATGCCCTGTGTGAAGTTAAATGGAAAAATTAAATTGAGGAATCACTCATAAAATCACCAATATTTAAAACCAATATCTATGAAAATGCATCACCTCACCTGCATTGGTTGGTATCCACCCACAGAAGACACAAATATTATGTTTCCGCCTCTGAAAGAGAAATTCAGAACCACTGAAAACACGACCAAGACTTTCATTACATTCTTTTCCCACCGTCCTCACCCTCTCTTCTCCATGTGAGGCACCACCAGCTTGGTCAGGAGGAAGGCAGCTTTTACGTTTACAGACAGAATCTAAAAAGAAACAAGAACGATACAAATATATGGGCCTTTTTTTTTTACCGTTTTGGTAGGAAAAAGTGGGAAGCAGAAGTTTTTGTTTATCTTGAAATTTGATAAGTTGCAGAAGGATCTACATCACTCAACCTTTTTGACATTCGATCACATTAGAAACACAAACGTTAAAGGCTTTCAGTGGCATTTATGTTAAAGATAAACATCTACGTCACGCACAACCTTCCTCCCAACAACCATAAACATGCAGCCAGGGACTGAAAGGATATTCATGTGTTAGAGTGACCCAGTCAAAGTTCAGACCAAATACAACTGACAATCTGTGGCAAGACTTTAAAATCGCTGATCACAGAGGTTCTCCGTCCAATCTGACTGAATTTGAGATTATTTGCCTGGAAGAATGGACAAATACTGCATCACGTAATAATCCAAAGCGGCACAAACAGCAGCTGTAGATTGAGGAGAAATTGACAACCCACAAAATATGGACTTGAGGTCACGTAGGGGTCAGATTTTTGTTGGTAAAGAATTTAAAAAGCACAAATTCCCTTCCATTTCACAAATATGCACTGCAGTGCGTTGGTCTAATCTACAACTCCCAATAAAATACAGTTTTGTTCATATGATGGGGCAAAATGTGAAAAGCCCCGCTATTTCAGTTAAAAAAACAGAGTCCTGAAGCTTGGTAGTGGTGGCGTTTACCTTGTCCCACACTTCCTCTGTGGAGTCCAAGATGTTTCCAAAGAAGGGGTTGACCGCTGCGTTGGACACCAGGATGTCAACGCCCCCGCATTGATCCAAAGTCTGAGTGCAAAACAAAGCGAGAAGTCAAGCTGCAGCGTGGCACACAATGCAACAAGTCATAGGCCTCAAATAATATGGAACACATTTAAAACCTTGGTGCAGTTCACAAAAAAAAAAGAAAACTCGAAAAGTTAATCTGTAGATTTACACAAGTTTGGAAACCATTAAAGCTTCATTTTAAAGGGATGAAACGATTACTGCTTTGCAGACAAACTGTCCAACGGCGTGACACATGAGATGCCGGCAGGAAACAAAGGACGCTCAAAACAGGAGCTGAAGAATTGGCTGATTATGGGACGACCATATGTACAATCATTTATAAAGGCATGGTTTCCTCACACAGAAGTCAGGTATCCTCCAAGCCAAGCATAGCTGCGTGCTTGTGGTTTTCCTGGATGTACCTCAAAACTTATCTCTGCAGTGGAAAAGTTTACAGGCTGTCGAGATTAAGATTGAAGTACTTGGGAAGATTGTTGGTCTCCAGGAATAACAGGAGCCTCAAATATGAAGTGAACTTGGGACAGATGGAGAGCACCTAGAACAACAACGATCATCATGCAGACCATCTGAACGTCTTCAGACGGAGAAAATGTTCCCGCCCTCAAACGGACCGAGGCCCCATTGGAACGACTTCACCAGTCGTCCACATCGGACTCTGAAAGACGGGAGCTCAGCTGAAGCTCGGTGAGGAGGGACGGCTTTCAAATCCCTCCTGAGCAGAACCTCCGACAGGTCTGTTGCTCTGCGGCAACAGGAAATGTCTGAGGTTTGCCTGGAGAAATAATGCAGCTATTACCCAGGAGTTCAGCCGGATTTTCCATTGACTGGGGGTAAATGTGAATACAAAGCTCCCTTAATACCTCTGACTGTTTTTTTTTTAAACTAGTCAACTGCATATTTCCACTCATTTCACCACTGAAGATGCTGGAGCTCACCAGTTGGACCAGCTTCTCCCTGTCCTCTCCTCTGCCTACGTTACATGTGGTTCCAGTTACTCGGATGCTCTGGCTCCTCAGCAAAGCCACAGCCTTGTCCACGTTGGCCTGCCGCCGGCTGCTGACGACCACATGGGCCCCTCTCTTTCCCAGAGCCTGAGCTGCAGCCAGGCCGATTCTGAGGCGAAAAGAGGAAAAACGGAGTCTCGCAAAACTTTCCAGAGCCGTCTTATCTCCACAGCCACCGCCAACGTCAATGTGGTTTGCTGGGATTTTACATATTAGCAGGATACAAGTAAAACGTACGGAAAATAAAAACGTACGATACAGATTTGTATTCAATCTTGCAACGTCAAATAAACCAACTATGTAATTTAATGTGTATGCATCACACTGTACCTGATCCCCCCTCGGGAAACATGGCGGTGGCAGCATCATGCAAGCTGACTTAAGGCGATACAAGATGCCAAACAGGGTTTCTGCAAGTTTCAGTAACTTAAATTTGGTAAAGACCAAATTCTCCAAAATAACTTCAGTAAATTTAAAATATTATTAAATATGCACTTTGTCCATGAGCTGGTTGTAAATAATGATGTTTTGATGTAATTTTCCCAAAGAACCAACAATAAGCAAATGTTAGGAAGAATAAATAAACAAACTAATATACTAATTTAAGACCTACATAAAGCTCATTTTGGACCTTATAGGAGAATTTAGGCTCATCTGTGACATTTTAAAGCCTAAAACTGAAACAGTTAGATGCTCAGCAAAGCACATCCATGCGCTAAAACGTCCCAGTCAAAGTTCGGAGCTAAATTAAATGGAGAATGTGTGGCAAAGATTTAAAAACTAACATTTACAGGTGGGTCTATCACACACACGCACAAAAAAAAAAAAAAAAAATAAAAAAATAAAAAATCCCAATAAAGTGCATTTTAGATTTTAGGTTTAGTTGTGGCAACATGTCAAAAGGTATAAGGGATAGAAAAACATTTGCAAGGCACTGTTAGTCAACATGTATCATTTGAAACATCATCATTGAAACATTTATTTTTTTTAAAAAAAGAAAAAAAAAACAACAACATATTGAGACACATTTTCTTTTCTCTTTTTGTGTTGGAAACCCGTTTTCTGAGAAAAGCACACCACAGTCACGTCCTCGGTTTCTGTGAAAGCTGTTCCAGACTCAGAGCTCCACTAACAGCCCAGTCGCTCTCACCCATCTGTGGAGGCTGTCACAATAGCCACTTTCCCGTCCAGGCTGCTGTGAGACATGCTTCTCTGGACAGAAACCGGGTTGGTCCTCAGAAACCTGGACACACCCCGAAGCATCACCTGCAACACGGAGCAGCAAGGTCACTTCCTGGACAGACTGGCTCACCGGGGGCAAAGGTCAGGGACTCTGACTGGACTCGTCGCTGGGCGGGATTCAGAGGAATATAAGGTGGTCGTTACAGAAACGCAGTCGTACATGACGCAAACGGAAACAGTGAAGACTCATAACAGATCAGGCGATGTAAAGAAACATCTGATCGAGGCGCGATCACAGTTTCACAGCCAGCGAAGGAACACGGAGGAGGATCTCACCGTGCAGGGCGCGCAAACCGCCACGGACGAAGTCGCACGACGAAACACAAAACTCAGGCAAACTCTGCAAAGAGAGGACCTTTGACTCTTGCTAGCCACTGTCTTCCGGACACAGGTACCGCTGTCAAAATAAAAGCCTGGAACGAGCGCCTCGTTTTCATTTGACAACTTTTAAATGTGTGACCTGTAAGAATAGCGTCAGCTGGTAGAATAACTGTTCATTGTCAGGGTCGTGACTTATTAATGACGTAGTAAGTCAAAACGTGTAAGTTTTGACTACCTGGGAAGATGAGTTCTCTGATTGACAGTTGGAAATCGACGCCCCTGAACGCACCCTCAAAACATCAGCCAATCACAGAAGAGCTGCAGATAACAGGCGTTAGAAGCCAGATCTTTACATATAAATATAAAACAAAAAATTATTTTTGATTTCACTGCACAGTAGAAAGCGAGCTCGTTCGCCATCTTGTGAGTGGCATGTGAACCTGGAGGATTATTACTATTAAACATGGTTTTCAACATAACAAAAGCACTGACATTTATTATAAACTACTTTGAATACATACAGCTTTCATACACAATAATGTGAAATAATTTTTTGTTGTAGATCCATGTACAGCTTAATACATGCGAAATAATTTGATGAAATGTTGTTTTAGCCTTTTTAACTAAAATACATTCAATTTTTCCAGATTTTGTTTTAGCTCAAAGTACTACTTAAGCTATAAATGTCAGACTAACTAGGTGTTAAGAATGTATTATTCTTTTTTTTACTACTAATTATTAAAATATTGATAAATAATGACTTTGATTTTTAGGATGAAGGGATGACAAAGAGCAAATGTCTAACCATAAAGATCTTACTTACATGCCTAATAGTGTATTTTTTCTAAGTTGTTAATGGCCTAGTATCTCAACACTGTCAATGATCTGAACGTCTTGTCTTAGTCACCTGCTAAATGTCAAAACCATGTGAAGACCAGCAGACTTTGTACCTGGACAAATGATAATGTTAGGGACATGTTTAGTGAATTCAATACTTTAAATCCCAAGGGAAAACATATATTTTAAAAGTTAAGTGATTTATGTCAAGTGTCTGTTTCGTCAGCTTTGAAGATTAACGCAGCTAATAGAAATTAAACCTCCAAATTTTTCAAGCACTCAGCCTTCTGTTAACATGCTTGGAAGCTGCAATCTTTAAACAACTTTGATCATGACATTTTTGAGTCACATGTGGAGGGTGTCAATGACTTTTGCTGGTTAGTTCTTGAGTCAGCAGTCTTTCTCCTGATTGTGTCATTACAGCTGTTTTAAACATTGTTTTTCATTCGGCCTGTGTGGTATTCTAACTTTCCGAGAAACTCCTTTTTTCTCTTTTTCTTTTGCTTTCTGAAATTGCAAACCTTTTCAATCAAAATGAACAGAAATGAGAGAAATGTATAAATCAGCTTTATTTCCCAAATTTGAAAAAGCAAGATATGCCACCATTTCACGCTGACCAGAGAGACAGCCTGGAGAAGAAAAAAAAAACAGTTTTGTTTTTAGCAAATATCACTCTGCCGTGCCGACCTGAAGGTAAAAACCGTAACAGTACGTGTCCAGAATGTGTGGGGTCTGCAAAGATTTTAGTTCCATATTTCCTAGGTGATATTCTTGTGTGCTGACCTTAATGCTTGAAATAGAATAGAAAAAAATAGAAACTACCCGTATTACTCCTCAGTGAGGAAATTCAGATGAACCAGAGGCAAAGTGACAGATAAATCAAACTTCCATGCAGGCACAAAAAAAAATTTAATTTTGTGCAACAAATCTATGTAGTCCTGGAATCAATTGTATTTATAAATACATCAAAACTATTACGATACAGATGAAACTTGAACAAAAACTCACGTGACTAAACAGTCTGACAGCGGTTTGCTTATGAGTCCGAAACAGAAATGCCACTCGCAACATGGCGGCGACGTTGCCCTACGACTCCGACGCGCATGCGTCGTCCGCTCACCGACGTTCGTGTGATCGAACCCCAATGGCCAAAGATTTTCACGCCTGGAAAGAAGCGATTCCTCGCATATCTCCCTGAAAGCCTTACGTCGACGGGAAGTTCGTCCACGACGAGACAGAAGCCAGGTATTTGTTTTTTGGTTATTTTATTTCATTTCAAAAGCGACGGCTTTTGTGCGCCAGCGCCGTTCGGAGCTGGTAACAGCTGGGATTTCATGCTACGCTCCAGGACTATTGTTTTGAATTGAGCCTGAGCAGCGAGGGGCGATGTGGACAAGCAGCGTTAGAGAGCGTGATCCGGTCGGTTAGTGTTTAAAGCTAGGCCTCGGCACGGCTCGCTGCCGTCTCATCAGCTCATAATCACACGAATTAACTATTATTTTTCATGTCACACACACACACACAGCTATTAACGTGCTCGATTAGCATTTTGACGTGCACCGTTTGCTCCTAAATGGAATGCGTTAGGGCGGCGTTGCCCTGACGTGACGACAGTCGCCCATCGCACGTTGTGTTGTCCACGGAGGATGCACGACTTGAGGCGGCCGGACCGGTTCGGTGTTCGGTTGTTGTATCTCATCGAAGCGTGAACGTCGTTTCCGCATGGATTACAGGATCCGCAGGAGGACCCGGGGACCTGGAGGCGGCCACGCCACTGAGATGAGTCCCGTCCGGAGCCAGCTGTGCCTCGGCAGCCGGTCTCTCTGCTGCTGCTGCTGCTGCTGCTGCCCGTCAACACATCCGACACAAATCTCTGCAGATCTGATCTGATCTGGACGGACGGGCTGAGCGAGCTGAATGCCTGGGTTCACGATTCCGCTGAGAAATATCTGAAGAGTTTGGAGTCATGTCTGTCTCTGTAAGTACACGACTCGTCCTTCTATGTGCATGGATTTATTTGAAAATAGAAAAAAAAAGCCAATCTTTCTGTGGTGGACAGATGAGATTATAGATGACTGACATAAGCTGAAACATGATGGCCACTTTCTAGCTGTTGTAGATTTTTTCACTATATATATATATATATATATATATATTTTTATATTTTTTTTTTTTTTTTTTTTTTTTACAAGGATCCTTATTGCCTCCATTACTGTTTTGAGAGAGGGAGGGGAGCTCCCTCATGGCTCATTGGAGCCTCTCTGTCCCTGATGGGGGTTTGGTTTAGAAAATGAAAGGGGGTCTGAGTCTCTGGCTTTGGGTGGGCAATTAAACCCTAAACAGCCAGGGACAGATGTGCCTCTCATCCCCTCCCCCTCCCTCTCATCTTGCTCATTAACATTAAGCTCCTGTGTCCATTTGATCATTGATCCACCTCTGACTGCTTCCCCTAGTTCTCTTTTGGCCATCATTACTGACCCAGCTGGGGATTTTGAGATTTGGATTTTCTCTCTTTGTGTGTGTGTGTGGGTGTGTGTGTGCGTGTGTGTGCGTGTGTGTGCGTGTGTGTGTGCGTGTGTGTGTGTTTCTGTGCTTTGTGGTCCACCAATTTCCTCCCTTTTCATTCAGATGTTCTGAACGCTTCACTACCCGGTGTCATTTCTCCCCATTTACCAGCTCTAAACAATCAACAAAGTCCATCTGACTCTGGACTACTTCTCCATTTATAATTAAATAATTTGGGATTGACCTTTTGAACCGTATTTAGTCACTTCTGTTGGCAATTAGTGTTGGTTTGAGTATGTTGTGTGAATTCGCACTGAGATTCCAACAGACAAATGTTTTTACCCACAACACTTGGCTCCAAGCCAATTCCTTCCTTCATCAGTATGACCAAATGTTCCCAAGACAGGCACAAATTGACGCCTCTTTTTTGTTCCCATGAAATGTCTAACTCTGCAAACAAACAAACAGTCTTGGTACATCTCTCATACTGATAAATTATCATACAAGTGGTTGAATTGCAATTTTTTCTTATATTCAAATTGAATATATTTCAATTGCCTTAATTAGTCTGGAGGTTGTAGTTAGGATACATATGAATTCTGAGAGATTATAACCCCAGATCAAAACAAAAGAAGTTTGAATCTGGAGTCAAATAACCATGTTTCCTTACAGCGGTTATCGAAGGTACATAAACAAATATTAACGGTTATGAAAGGTAATAAATGCACTCTGTACGCTCTTAAAAGTCAGGTATGAAACAAGCAAAATATGATGACATAATCAACTACTGCTGAGTATAATCGTTTGTGGTTTAAACATGTGAGACAAGACAAACTGGTGTAACTGTAGAATTGTGCACTTCACACAGACTACAGCTCTCTTTCATATTCTACTCCCACTGTCATTCCTCCTCTTTTTCTAGACGGTTTTGGCTAAAGCCCTGTATGACAACACGGCAGAAAGCCCTGAGGAGCTGGCTTTCCGAAAGGGCGACATCTTGATGGTTCTGGATCAAGAGAAGACTTGCGGGCCAGGCTGGTGGCAGTGCTCCCTGCATGGCAAACAGGGCATTGTTCCCGCCAACCGCCTCAGAATTTTGGAGACCGCCCCACCACCAGGCTCTGAGCCTGGCCCCGGACTGAAGGAAGACTCTGTATACTTATCCCCTGGCCTTCCTTTGGCTCGGACTGCTGTCGGCGGAAGCACGGACGTTGCTGACGGAGTATACCTGTCGCCGCCTGCCACAGGCGAAAGTCGAGGCGGGGTAGTCGCGACTCGGACTGGAGAGCTACGCAGAGTGGAGGCCGGCCGTCCTCGCTCACACTCAAGTTCTGGCACTCGCCCCAGACCGGACTGGGATATTGGTGTGACAGGACGGCCACGATCTCCGTCTTTAAGGGGGCGTGGTTCAGAAATGTCTGGAACTCATTGCCAGAAGCCACTAAGTCCCATGCCTTCTGCAGCTCCACATGCCAGGCAGCCTGGAGTTCTCCTGGCTTCAGAATCTGTTTACCTTTCTCCAAGTGCCATTCCAAGGGCTACCGATGAACCAGAAGACACCACATACCTTGTTCCGAGAGACAAGCCAACAGGAGGACATTCAGACGACTGTTACTTGGTGCCCAAAGGGACGCCACTTGCAAGTGATGATGTTTACCAGTCCCCAACAGGTGGTGGTCTGAACAGTACTCTCTGCGCTAACGGTGTTATGCCACAGCCCAAAGCAAGTCAGGACACACCTGGAGTTTACCAAACACCTACCCTTGTTGGGTCAAACCTACATCGGCCACCAGCCACAGTTCTGGCTCACCAACATCCATCTTCGCTAACTCCAACCCAAGCGTCTCCCCGACCCTTGCTCAAGGGTCTTCCCCCGAACTCTGCAGCTGCAAGGGGCAAACCTGCAGCTAATCACCGGGGATCCCCATTTTCAATCAGAGCAGGGCAAGTTAGGGCTCCGGGGTCGCCAAACTTTGCCCGCAAACCTCCTCCACCAGCCCCTCCGGTGAGAGGAGTCACCAGGAAAGAAGCACAGCAAGCAACCCCTCAGTCAGTCGCCTCCGTCCCCAAACTGATGGCTCAGGCAAGTCCTGCAGGCCAGCCACCACCAGAGGACAAGCAAATCAGAACTCCCCAGGGTGACGGAGAAAAGATGAGCAACGGCCTGGATAGAAGCGCCGCAGTGCCAAACAAAACTGGAGAAAAGCAGGATTACTCAGATGCTGCAGATGACCAGGTATGGTGTACGTGCCTTTAAACCTGTACGGTCCTCTTCTGACTTTTGTATCTTACATCAGTTGTTATGATGAATGATCTCATACAGATGTACAGTCATGGCTTGATGATATCCTCTGCTCCCTTGTTAGGTGTATGACACCCCTCCAAGTGGCAGGTGGCAGCAGCCGATCCAATCTACTCGCCAAGAGGATGTCGATGGCATTTATGACACCCCACGCAGCGTCCAATCACAAGCTGACCCTGAGACAGAGGTAAAGCAAGAATATGGTTTTTCTACCGTCTCATGGTTTTTTAGCTATTTTAGTGAGATTCTAGAGTAAGTGTTGAGGACAACTGGAAGTTTCTAAAGCTGCATTGAACACTCAGCCCCTTCCCTACTTGTTGCTACACACTGCAAATGAGTGAACTGAAAGAAAGCAATTTTTGCTGTCTTTTAAAAACATTTCAGTACATGTGATTGTGAGGCATGTAATCAGATAAAATATGATTTAACATCATGTTAAGCAATTGTGAATAACATTATACCATAAAACCCTGGTTTTTACTGAGAATCTGTGACCAGTCTACACATTAAGGAAACCTTGACCGAGTTTAAACTGTCTATCAAACTACCCTCTAAAAGCAACAATTCCTTAATTTTATTTGCCATATATCCAACAATAACCCCAAAGAGACATTTGATTCTTTCTGTAATTACAAACAATTCTGAAGAGGAAAGTCAGAGCTCCTCTAATGCTCAGAGTTCAGATTAAATATGGCTGCCACTCATGGAAAACATTGCCAATGGTTGCAGGAGTAAGTTATTTACTTGCACGTCTGATTTTATTTTATTTTTTTCTGTTTTATTTTATAACCATAATAGTATTGTGTGATCTCTATTTGTGAGCAAGCTCCTTCCGTGTATAGACCAGAGAAAAATATATGATTGTTCTGTACGGCTAACACCTATTTGCACCACAAAAATGAGGAAATGCCGGTTGTTTTGTGACTTTCCAACTGTAACAACGTCAAGTAATTGGAGATATACTAATTAGTTTATTTACCAGCAAATATAAGTTTAATATTTTGGTTAATTGACTAATAAAAAAAAAGTCTATAATCTTTTTTACTAGAAAAATCGTCTGATTCCAGTCCCGGTCTCTGACTGATCGGTGCATCCTAACAACTAACACTTTGAATCGTTACCAGATCTGAGATCACAACATAGGTGATCAGGTCCTGTTCAATCCTGAGAAAACTATAGAAAGTGTTGTATAAAACTGGGGTACTGTCAATTTTTGGGGTTTCCTATAGAAGAAAATATTTTGCCGCTTTTCTTTTGATTTAGAACAACAGTTAACCGGGCTTGGAAAAGCTTCGTGAAGGAATTGCTTCGATCGGTTGTGTTTTCTAGGGGCTACGAATACAACTGTGCTGTGTACGTAATCCTAATAGTTTGGTGTCATTAGTTTAGAAATCACCGTAAGCTGCGGTGTTACTCTGGAACTCATGTCTGTACAAGTTCACTGGGTCGTGAATGCGAGAGATAACTATCACGTACCCTGTCACTATTTCTTCCCACATACCACCATTAGTCTGCCTCCCTGCCCCCTTCCAAGGCAGGGCCACACCTGTCTCTGTCGGCTGGGGAAGCCTGTCTATCCAGTCCAAATGTTGTTACTATTTTCTCTCAGTCACACCCATGTGTGAGGGCCGTTCTACGGTTGTCCCACCACCAGCACTACCACCACCCTGACCACAGTGGCCTCCCCTTTAATCTTAGCTTAGAATGTGTGCCAGCTGTTGGACTGTTTTTTCCCTTTTGTCCCGATCCTCCCTGGTCCCAAATGTAATTACAGACACAGTTTCTTGTTGTTATTGGGTGTACAAAAGTGGTCAATGATTAAATGGGTCAGTAATTCCAAATGTTGTGTGATTTCCTTTTTTTTTTATTTTTTTTTATTTTTTATTTTTTTAATGCTCATTTCAATTTCATATATGCCAGACCTTTTGATAATCAAAAGTGCAGTATTTCACTAATTTAAAGGGCACAAACTCCATCTAAAAGTGCAGTTAGGTTGAGTTTTTGTGAAGTAAATGAAAACAGTAATATTCTAAAACTTTTCCACTTCTCATAGTTGTGTTCCTGCACAACTCAAGTAAAATCTACAAAAAATGAGGGAAAAAGGTCAAATAAATAAATTATTTGATTGCATAAATGTGCGTCCACTTAAGCTAATACTTTGTTGAAGCCCTTTTTTGATTTTATTCTATCTCAACCTTTCTGCCGTCAGGTACAGTGCAGACAGGTGAGGTAAGCTTAAAAGAAGTCATTGTTAAAAAGTATCTGCTGAGCGCAGATAAAGACCCGCTCAAGTCAATTGGAAACAGTTTTTTTTAACCAGGAGCTCCAGAAACATCTTTTAAGTGTTGGCTGTGTGTCACAATTGACAGCAATCACTTCTGCTCTCCATGTGTCTGGACTAAGATCATTACAACCAGTCTTACTTTGCTAAAACCGTCTAAAACAATGGTCACTAAAACTTAAACGTTTTGTCTCTGGAACAACACAAACATACATACTGATGGGGCAACTTTTTCTCAAATGAATACAATTTGTTCTTGACTCTTAAGAATTCAGATATCTGCTTGGAAGTTGAAAACCGAGATGGTAGCACTTTTTAAACACTTCTATTTAGTCCAACTACACATCTAATCGACACCAGAATGACCTCACCAGAAGAAAAGTGCTAATGACCCGACAAGGATCCAGATCTGCATTTGACACAAAATCTAAGGAAGAGGCTACGGCAAGAGATAACTGCAGAGTCTGACATATTTATGGGATGCTTGTAGGGCACAGAGGGGAAATATTGCCAAGTGAGGATGTGGCCTGCAGATAGACTCCTATTAACGTTTTAGATTAAGGTTATGCACACTTGTATAACCAGATTGTTGCTGCTTTTTTAAGTATCTTTCTCACTAACAGATTTATTTGTTTAGTGGTGTTGGGAAGAGGTTTTCAAATGCATATTGTTCGAGTGAAAACATCATCCTGTCACATTCTCCGGCAATTTTCATTGAACTTTTCCTCATTTCTAGAGTTACAAAGTTAAAGGAATATGCATTCGGTGAAAATGTGTCGTTTTTGCCATTTGTAGGTCTATGATGTCCCCACAATCACTCTGATCAAACCCGCGGCAGACATAAAGCCTGATGAAGACGAGGACGAAGTCTACAGTGTCCCCACTCTTCCAGGTGTCCCTCTGGTGCTGGGAGAGTCCACCAGCAGCCTCCCCACTGAGGACATTGTGCACGTTGGACAGGTCTGTTTTGTCCCGGGACCCGACAAACGAGCCAGCGGCGGAGATCAGCAACAAGACTCCACTGAGGTTGACTGTGGGATTTACGACATGCCCTCCCTGACCATTGAAGTGCTTCCCCATTCGTGCTCTTCGTCCTCCTCCGCCTCCACTCGCCGCCACTCTGTTTCTAGCAACGGCTCCGGCGACGTTCAATGGAAAGCTTCGCTGTCGAACCTTGTCCACTCGCTGCTGGGCACCGCCTCGTCCCTGTCCTCGCGGGATCTGGCTACGTCTCTGGCTGAGATCCTGTCCAACTGGAAGGCCAGCCACACAGGTGACCCTCCGCCGCCTCTCCAGCAAGCCTGGGTTCGGCTTTCGGACGTGCTTCCGGCGTTGTCTGCCATCGGGAACGCTCCTCCAAACGAGGGGCTCTTATCGCTGGTCCAGCGCTCTCTAGAGGAATCTGCCCTCCTCCTGCAGGCTCAAGGGAGACCACGTCTGTCTTCCCAGGAATCTCTGTCTCGCAGGCCCTTGCCAGCGCTCCCGGTGCCTGATGGGAAGTCATGCGGCGGTGGAATGGGTTCTCGTAAAGGGAGCTGGATCCAAGAACGGCCTCTGCCTCCGACCCCTCAGCCCATGTTTCCTTTGCCTCCAACTCCGGCCTGCGTCACCCTAACGATGGGCCCCGTTAATGGAGAAGAGGACCCCAGCAACGAGTACGCAGGGATTGGCTTGACCCCAATCCCAGCCCCAGTACCTTCAGGAGACAGTGTTGGATATGTCAAACTGCAGGTCAGTCTAAAGTCACTGTTTATGAGCAAAGAAGTATTTATAGTCACCACTGACAGTTCTCTGTTCCCCATGCTAGGGTAAACCAGATCTTCCTCCGGATGTCCTCTCTGAGAATGGACAAACTTTCACTGGAGAGCAAAGGGTGAGTAATTTCCGCAATGTTATTCACCTCCACATGCAGAACACCCTGGTTCTGTTGTGGTTTCACTAATTGGAAAAAATCTTTTGGTCTTCACTAGGTCATGGCAATTAGAGCAATATCGCAGATTAGTCGTTCACCGCGAACTCTCTCAAGGTCTCACTGCTGGATATTAGTCACGTTTAGATCTAGATTTTTACTCATTCACTAGAAAACCTTAATTATGTTGTTTCTTTCAGCCCCTCTGTTGTATATTTGCAGCTATGTTAGTGTCAGTCCCCTGTTGCATGACCCATTTTGGACAAACTCCCTTTGCTGGCCTCATGTTTGACTGTAATACTTTGGCATTGAGCAGAGTTCATAGGTGACTCAATGACCAAAAGGCACAAGCTCAAATCATAACCCTTCCACTAGTGTGCTCGATGGTGGGTATGGATTGTTGCACTCTTATGCTTGTTTAGTTTGCATAGCATGGTGCGTTATGCCCAGAGGTCTTGCCGTTGGTGATTTGTGACAGAAACACATTGTTCCAGAAGGAATGTTGGAGTCATTCTGTCATATTCTTAAGAAAGAATAAACTTTCTGCTTTCAGCAAATCTTTTTTTATAATGTCAGACTTCAGACTCCAGCCTGCGGATCCAGAGAGCGTAGCACAGTCAGAGCTCGGGGTGAATTCCTGGGAAATGCAGTTCGTGGAAGATTGGTCTCAAGTGTTTTCCCACTTGAGAAAAATGTTTCTCACTGTGGAGTAAAGGACTTTAAATGTTGTAGCTCTTCGCAGATTGATGGCCAGTAACAGGTGCTTTGGTGAAGTCACTGTTGACAACTTTCCACCTTCGCGCTGCGTTGACAAACTGCCAACGGCCTCTGCTTTTATAGAGGCACTTGATCAGCAACACCTGGATACAACTTTCCCTTTTTAAAAAAAGTGATGAAAGAAGCAGAGACGCACTTTTCTTTTCCTTGTGTTTTCTTCTACCCTCTTTACTTTTCCCTTGCATTTCGAAAGTGTATTTATTGTGTCTGTGCAGTTGAGAGTAGATTTTGTTCATTTGAAAACCTGAAAGACCAAATCTTTTTGTTTTATTACATCCTGATATGTAAAACTCCTTAAAGTTGGAGTGCACTTTCTGTCTTTTTTCCCATGACAGTACCACGCTCCTGTTGTGTCACTCCGCCTGCTGTCACAAATGATTTATGCACAAACCGCAGCTCCACTCGGATAAGTCACTTATTCACTCTGAGTTGACAGTGCGCTCTGTTTACTAGTAAGCACTGTGACTCATTAATCCAGATAGCTGGAGCTGTTGGCTTCCCAATGCAACGTGCGGACACTCGCTTTGCTTTGGCCTTCGCAGCCCCGTCGATTCCTGTCGAAAGTATACCCACAGACTTTAGAAACCGTTATTAGTTACTCTGAGCGTCCAGCGTCAGACTCTGAGGTCTTGTCTCGCTGCACCATATTGAAGTCACGTCTTCTGTGCAGCAGTCTGCATTTTTCCTGCTCCTTGCAGGGTTCCCTTGTCATCAGGGCTCAGACGAAAAACAAGAGTTCGCTTGTGAGTCTCAACAATCTGGCCTCACATAGTAAGGAGGCCGCAGGACAATAAGTGACAGAAAGAACAGTCCTTCCTTCAGCGGCGTCTCTTGTTTTTGATATACTGCGCGGAGATGTGCGTTTCACTCCGACTTTTCAAACCGTGGAGTTGCGTCTGCAATTCCCTTAGGTTTATGTGGATGAATTTATTAGCGTATGGCAGTCACAGGGAGCCCTGTTGCAATGGATTTTAATGTAGGCAAATTACACCTCTTTTTTTTTTTCCTCTTTTCTTTTTTTCCTGCACTTTGAGGCAGGTCCCAATAACTGTGTATGTCTTAAATAATAGTACTTGTTGTGCTATAATTTTGAAAAATAATTGGGACTGTGTCATATTACCTTGTGTAGGCATGAATCACTTTCTAGGCTGCTGTTCCCACACTCGAATCTGAATCTCTGCTGCCTTTTCGATATCGTTGTGTCTTCTACTGTGGCTGTTTTAAATGTTATAATAACTTTTTTCACAGCTTGGTTGATTACATGAGCAAGAAAAGGTATGGTGTATTTTGAAGACTAAAAGTAGGAAGTGAATAGTAGTAGCCTTTTTTGTGGTTCAGTCTGGACTCTCATTTGGGTTGTTTCTATTTCTTCAGTGCTCTTTCCCCAAATTATGTGTTCCAAAAATGTATTGAAATCTGGAATGCCCTTGCAAGACATTTGTCCACACTTTGCCAAGTAAAAACCATAAACTTTAATTTATTTGATTAGAATTCTATGAAATAGAACAAACCAGGATAGCGCATACGTGTGAAGTGGAAGGAATATAATACCTAAGAGTAACATTTTCACTGATGAAAATATGATAAGTGTGGCATTTTGTTTTAATTGTAAGTTTTCTGGAGTGTCTCTGTTGTTTGTTTGCAGTCTAGAGACTTAAGTCTTTGCCTGTACTAATTTATAAAATAGCTCAGCCTCAGAGAGCGCCAGAGACATTGATTTTCAAGTCCTGTCCCATTTTCTCAATTGTGTTTATGTCTGGTATTTTGCCCATACCAGCACACAAATGTGCTTTGATATAAACTTTTTTCCTTAAAGCTGTGGGTTGTTCTCCTGCTCAAATGCTCTGGTTATTAACGATGCAGCAATATCTTTAAAAAGCCTGATCCGCCATTTTTCTTTTTGTCTGAAAAGTCGTTAAATGTAAATCATCCAAGTATCGGCCAACCTCCCAAAATTGACAAAATCGGGCCCAAATTATCGGTACACGCCTTCTGATCAGTATTCTCCGTACCCGGCCTGTTGGTCTTAATGGACGTTTATCTTTTGGTAGGTCTCTCCACTTTCAGATGCTGGACCGAACTGAGCTCTGTTAGATGCTCGGGATGCTGTTTTAGAACCTAAACCTGCTTTAAACTGATTCACACCGTGCTCCTTGACCCGTCTGGTGTTCTTCATAAAACTTAAGATTTAAACACACATATTTGGATTCTATTCACTCTAAGGTCACTAATGAAGATGGTTGGTGGCACATATATGAGCAAAAGGGCCTGAACACTGCCACCACATTTCAGATCATTTGTGAAAGTTTGAAAACCCTATGTACGAAGTTTGCTCTACTTCCTAAATATATGAAAACAAGCCTTAAAATGCATTCAGGTGTGCAGAAGTAAGAAGAAAAGCTTGAAAGAGTGTAAATACCCTGTCAAGGCAGAGTGAGTTGAAGTCTTCTACTCCATGTCTCTCGTTGCCACAGTTGACCCCCTCGCCTCCTCTGCCGGTGGCCCTCTCATTGGAGGACTCGGAGCTTCTCTCCTTCTACTCCTCTCAGAGCTTCGCCCACCTCTCCTGCCTCGCCGACGCCATCGACGTGCTCGACAGCAGCGTGCACGGCAACCAGCCGCCGCGCATCTTCGTCGCCCGGGGGAAGAGCCTCATTGTGACCGCGCACAAGCTGGTGTTCATCGGGGACACCCTGTCCCGCCTCCTGACCTCCGCCGACCTCCGGGCCAAGGTAGGCTCCTGCTCTCCGCATCTTCCCGCTGTAAACGCCTGAACCGAATCAAAGCGAGCGTCGCGCCCTGCCTTCGTTTTTCAGATCACCACGTCGGGAGGGAGGCTCTGCCAGGTGCTGAAGGCGGTCGTCGTGGCAACGAAGGGCGCAGCACAAAACTACCCGTCGGCGACCGCCACCCAGGAGATGATGGACCGCGTCACCGAACTCTACCAGCAAGCCGCCGGCTTCTCCACTCTGCTGCAGCGTCTGGCCGAAATATCGTCGTGATATTTCGTTTCGCTTGTACAAACGCTACACCTGTATTTTAGTGTCGAAATGCCTTATTTGTCCTTACACTATTACACTTCCTTACCTGTGTCTGTGAGGGAAGCCATACCCTGAACCACTTGTTTATCCACACTGCAGCTGTTGCTCAGCTGGGTTTTTTTATTGCATCGAGTCTTTCTTCAAAGAGTGTGTTTTTGTTTTTTTTGTTTTTTATCATTTCTTTTTTATGTCTCTGTTTGAATACTGACGTTTTTGCTTTGATGGTAGACACTCTTTTTTTTTTTTTTTTTAAGTGTTAACTTATTGAATATTGAAGTCCCTCAGAGGTCAAAGCAGCCCTTGTGGACCTGTTATTTTGGGAGCTTTGCTTTAAAGCGCTTGCCACATTTCCTTTTCCTCACACATGATAGCTGTTTTTCTTCCTTCCTCTATTTATTTAGCAAGCCCCTGCTCCGAAAATAGTCCAAAAAGAAGGTCTTTTATTCCGGTTCTGGCCTTCCTTTATGCAATGATACCCGATGGGCCTTTTTTCTTTTTGGTCACCGCTCTGAAAGCATGTTGACTTTTCTACTTCAAAGCAAGCACTGGAAGGAAAGTTCACCTACGTCTTGACACGTGGAGCAGCAGTAGGTCCGTTTCCATTAGAGAGCAAAGGCAGTGCTCACAATTCCCACATTCACAAGAAGGTACACTCGGCACATTCTTCTGTTCACCGTTATGCAGGTTATCACAGTACCCGAGAAGTCACTGAATGCCAGAGAATGACTAATGATGGTGAGAAATTACCTAATCCTGTTCTTTCCCACAGTGGTGTGGAAGTATAAGGAGCCTGTTGACCGAGTTCACGTGTTACAACATGTCTCGTTTGGATGTGCACCTTTGCATGGCTCCAGCTTTGACTTTAATCTCCTTTCTTCTAAGATGCCTACCAGTGATTAGTATTCATACCCACTTCAATAGATTTAAACAGCCAGGCTGAGACTTTATTTCACTTCAGGACGTGTTACATTTTTACATCTAAGAACTGACTGTTGCAATGGCCAACGTGATGTTGACCTGACTCAATGAAAACTGCAGCATAAATCACACTTAGTCATGAGACCTAAAAAAAAACATAAAAGAACAGACATGTTTTCGAACACTACTATCTGTATGCTTACACTAATCATCATTCTGAGTAATGGAACGTCTCATACATGCTAGCTACTAATTTATGCAACTAAATGAAGTCAGCACAAAAGGGCTTAAACTTGGAAAATAGTTGTAACTTTTTTTTTCAAGGTCATTTTAAATAGTCATTTATAGAACTTGACTTTATTCTGCAATATCTGATACGGTAGGTTTTGTTTTTCTTGAGGGCTGTGATTTTATTGTCTTGTTCACCCGCGCCACCTTGTGGTAATCTGAAGTGTTGCATAAAAACTATGCTTCTCTAGTTTTATGTTTGAGAATTTTTATCCATAGTTATAACCATATTGTTAACCCTTTCTGTTCTGGACATTTTTGCTTGCGTGATTTTGATTTGCTTCATTTTTGTATATGCAAATCCTTCATCTGGAATACTTGAGCAGTGGATTGCAATGTTACAATGTCTTTCGTTGTTTTGTTTTTGTCCAGTATTTTACATAATACAGGTATGGCAATTGTTCTTTTCTACAAGTTTTTTTCATTGATACGAAACCATCTTTTTCGAACACTACATTTGCTTGATGTCTTTTGTATTTCTGTTCAGAATACAGAACGTTTTGAAACAAAAAACAAACGTGTTTTCTGACAAGAATTTATATTTAAATGTATATTTTACTTTTTATTCAAATTATGTTAATAAGGGTGTTATTTATTGGTTATTTCCGTAAAGCAGTATAAATCCTAATAAAGTCACCTTTTCTGAATAAACCTCGACAAATCCCGGGGCTCGGGACTGCTGGGCCCTGCCACTTTATTCTGCTAGCGTTCAGGACGAGCCGAACGACTCCGGAAGCTGCCGAAGTGTGACGCCGAACAGCAGCCGTAGCGACGTTCGTCGGAGTTCAGACGAGCGGAGGGAGCAAAATGGCGGACGAAGATATTACGCTTGATGGAAAACCTCTACAGTCGCTCCGAGTTGCTGATTTGAAAGCCGCTCTGGAGCAAAGGAACCTACCGAAAAGCGGGCAGAAGAACACTCTCATAAAGAGGCTTAGAGGGGTAAGTTTTTGCCCGTGCTTTGGGTGTCTGTGTCGAGTCCGGCTAAGTTCGGTAAGAAGGCGAGCAACGGCATCGGGGGGGTAAACGTTAGAGGCCGTAACAGTGTGTAGAAGCGGGAATGCCTATATCACCGCGCACACGGTATTACACGTCAACAACAGTACGTTGTAATGGCCCTAAGTGACGGTAGGACTAAAAAAACCTACCGAACAGCTTCGGACTGGGTTTCCAACAGTTCGCTGAGCACCGTGTTGCACATTGTTGAACTGTGCACCTGTCAAGTCGAGGCCTAAGCTGAGAGTAGCCAACAGCCGCACAGAGTGTACAGTACATGACAGCCCCCGTCCGCGCGCATTGCATGTAGGTCTGTGTGTGAGGGGGGGCTTACCGGGAGCGCGCGTTGCGATGTAAACAGTAATCATACGTCAACAATTACTACGCTATGCGCTTTTTCTTTCCTGGAGTGTCTCCTATGCATAACAGGACTATGATGTTGAACCAGACTTTTAGCCAATTAGCAACCGGAAGCGTAGTTTGAATAAATGCTGAAGATTAAGTTCGTATGGTCGTCTGTTGAAAGATGCATCCTCGTCAAAAAGTAACCAAATTTAAATGCTTATTTTTTTCCAGGCCTTGGTATTTATTTACAAAACACATTTATGGGTGGCTTTGTACCAACTTTGTAGTATGTGTGCCACCTCAGCACGAATAGCATATGCCATGCAGTAGTATGTGAAACTCTATACCGAGGAAGCACAATGTCTTAAAATCTCTTTTAAGACATTTCAATGTTACTTAAACATTTAAAATTGTTTAAGTAACAATCTGAAATTGAATTTTCTGAAACCTGCATATCTCTGAATATGAATTGGATTTGTTGGAATATGTCATTTCCTGAATAATATTTCATTGGTATATTTGTGACACAAGCATTTATAATTGTACATGTCTGAGTCTTGATATGCAGTAACATCATTAGACATGTAAATATTGTTTGTGGCGTAAATATCTATAAACTGTTAAAAAGTGCTGCATGGTGGGCTTACAATGAACACTCAGAGTTCATTGTAACTCTGAGAATGGTTGTCTGTGTAATATCATAGACAGTCATTCCTGTGACTTGCATGCATCATTCAGGGCGGAGTGTAGGCTGTTTGAGTTATTGTTAACATGAAGTTGGACTCTGACCGCAATATTTAGCCTTTAATTAGTAATAAAAGTGTGTTTCAAATGGATTACTAAACTTCCTTTAAAAATTCAATATTTCCTTTGAAGTTAAGAAGATTTTTAATAGTAAGATTGGGTAAAGGTAATGCTTATTAAGGGAATGCAATCTAAAATTGTTAGTATTTTGATGTCAAAACACAAACACTGTTGCATTAGGGCTAATTTAAGATTAATAACAAATATTACACATCATCGTTTGCTTCATTTAACCTCTTCAATATCGATTCATTTCCTCCCTGTAGGCTCTAATGCTGGAAAACCTCCAGAGGTCATCGTCTTCTCACAGTGGGCTCCAGCCTAACTCTCAGGTCGGAGATTTATTTTCGAGCAGTTTTAGTTTGACAACGTTTCATGTCCAGATCTTGCCATTTGACCTGTTGTTCTGCGTTGCAGATAGGAGAAGAGATGTGTCAGAACAGTTTCATTAAACAGTACCTGGCCCAGCAGCAAGAGCTCCTGCGTCAGAGGCTTGCGAGAGAGGCCAAAAAGGAAGAGGAGGCCGATGGTACAGCACTTCTATGGATATTCAAGATAACCAAACAGCCGTCCGGTACCAACAGCTAATTCCTGTAAACCCTGCTTTGTGTCCTGTCCCACAGAAAGCGCAACTGGACCAGAAGAGGATGAAGACCACTCAGAAGACAATGACAGCCCTTCCTTTGTCAGTAAGGTCAGTAACCTGAATAAAGAAATGAGAAACACAAGGGATGTATATCGTTTAACTGGAATAATTGATACATTTATTGTGCTTTTATAATGCTCTCTTATTCCATCAACTTAATTCATTAAGTGAAACACATTGTATAGATCGATTAAGCAAAATTCAATTAAAATCAAATTCAGAAATACTATACAGATCCCAAAGGGAAATTAAACGTTGTAACTCATTTAATTAAAGAGTTATTGTGGCTGGTGATGGCTGTGGGCAAGAAAGATCTCCTGTAGCAGTCTGTGTTGCAACAAATTTGAAACAGCTTCTAACTAAAAACTTATGTTTTTTTCTAATTTATCACGGTACATATGATTGTATATCCCTTGAATATTTTTACAAATTGTCAGCCTACAAACACTAACTCAAGTCAATCTCACTGACATTTAATATGAAAGACCAACACAAAATAACGTCTAACTCTGAAGTAAAGAGGAAAATAATATCGGGATTGCATTTTTTTCATGACATGCTTTGGATTTGCATTACTCTGACACCTCAAATAAAATGTAGGTCAACTCGTTGCCTGAAAAAGTTAGCTAACTATCAATTTAATCTCAGTAGAAGTTCAGGTGTTCAGTGAAGGCCTTAGATGCATCGTGAAGACCAAAGAAAGCAGCAGACAGTTCATGGAGAAAGATGTGCAGATAGTAAAAGTAGAGAGAAGTAAGAACAACATCCCAAACTTTGACCTTCGTTGATTTCATTATTATAAAATGGAAAGCAGACCTAACAGGACATGACCGGCCACTGAAATGGACAAGCAAGTTGAGGAGAGCATTAACCAGAGAAGCAGCTGGGAGGATGTCTACCTTCTGTTGGTTTGGCACATAAAATCTGAATACAAGAGACGGAAGTTTGTGGCTCTGATGCGACAAAATGTGAAAAAGTTCAAGATCTGCAAGATATAGCAGCAGACAAAGTATTGTTTAATTGTTTAAAGCAACAAATGTTTCTCTCTGCTTCATATTAAAAATATAGTTTCCTAGTTTTTGATTGGATCAGAACAGATGCGAATATTGATTCCATGCAAAAAGTATATTTTTATAAAAAACTCCAAAGTTAAAATATTCATCTTCTTTGTCCAATAGCATCCAGGGACCCTGAATCAGGCCTCGGCTCCTGAGGCCGGAGGAGAAAATCTGGTGATTGGTCACCGACCTGCTGCTGTGTCCCACCACCGAGAGTCCATCGAAGCGCCGAGAGCCAGGATGCAGCGGTCCTCCTTCCAGCAGGGACACAAGGAGCCAGCGGCCGCATCTCCTCCTCGAGCCGTTGCCTCCTTCTCTGTGCGTGTCCTGGGACAACCGGACAGCCAGGGACACCCGGCCACGGCGCCCCCCGGCCAGGAGAAGGACGCCGCCTCCCTAAGCTCTCCCCGAACGGCCCAGCCTGCGCTCAATCTCAGCCGATCCTCCCGCAGTTCGGCTGACAACCACGTCCAGAACGACAGCGACGAAGATGACGACGACGACAGCGACGAGGACGAGGACTGGGGGCCCAGTTCCGGAGGGGCGCGAAAGAGAAAGGCAGCGGTTCCCTCAAAGCAGCAGGTGGCTCCCAGTATGTCGTCATCTGCTGCAGGGAGATCCAAACGCAAACTCCAGCCTCCTCAGCACATCCCACCTCCGCAGGTCCACGACACTCCCATGCAGCTGCGCCACCCCACACCTCCTCCATCTCCGCCCCCGAACCTGTTCCCCCTGCCCGACACTCCAAAGCAAAGCCCCCCCGACGATCAGGAGCGAGATGGTGAACGTGGCGCAGGAATGGCGTCCTTCCCACCTCCCACCACGCAGAGGCAGGACTCCGACTCCAGCTCTGGCTCCAGCAGCCCCGAACCTCCGGTGAAGCGTCGCACCGGCCCGCTGTCGCTGCTCATGCACAGGATGGAGTCAGAGGAAGCAACCTCATCCCCCGGGTTCTCCGGAGAAACGGCACACTCGACTGCCACGTGTTCCAGCGAATCCCCCCTTCAATCAGCGGAAACCAAAACGCAACAGGAAGCCAGAGAGATGGAGGACGAGAAACAGCTGAAGGAGGAGAAGGAGAGTCTTAAAGCACAGGAGCGAGAACGGGAGAAGAAACGCTTGGAGGAGGAGAGGGAGAAGGAGAGAAATCGGCTGGAAGAGGAGAGGAAGCAGCGGCTGAAAGAGGAACAGGAAAAGGAGAAAAGACACAAGGAAGAGGAAAACGAAAAGAAACGCAGGGAGGAGGAGAAGAGACGAGAGACGAGGCTGAAAGAGGAGGAAGAAGAGAAAAAAGTGAAGAACGACCGGAGAGCAGCAGCTGAAGAAAAAGATTCAGGTTCCTCCTCTGATTCCGACTCCAAATCAGAGTCCTCCTCACGCTCATCATCTTCATCATCATCATCCTCGTCTTCCTCCTCCAGGGATAAAATTCAACCTGCCAGTCAGCTGAAGGTTGGTGCTTCATTGGTTTCAGTGTTTTCATTCTCAGGGACTCAGAGAATGTACAGAATAATCTCTAAAGGGTTTTGATTCCGATACTAAGGGTTAAATACACTAAGAGAGGGGAAATAAATTTTTTACTCAGAAGTAGCCCATTAGAAATGTATTTATTTATAATTCGTTTACCTGAATGTATCATATGCCTTTATGGTTAATCTTGAAAGGCTAGGCTGATGCAGCATCTTTACCTCGGCAAAAAACGTAATAAAACCGTTTCTGTCTTGGAAACATTGTATGTTGCTGGACAATTTTGTCTCGAACATTAGAAAAGATTAAAATGGGATAAATCTGAATGGAATGCAGCCCTGATAGCAGCAGATGCTACAGCTGGCACTGATATTAGTGGAGCCTCTAATAAGATGCTATGTTTTACTAGTTTTTATCAAAGTCACAGTTGCTGTATGTGCACCAATCTGAACAGTGTTTCATTTTAGATCTTTTGGAGCTAAATAAACTTTAATTTATTTTTGATGTGTATTGCTTTGTTTGCATTTGCCTTTCATTTTTCCTTCTTTGATTCATCTCACAGAAAGCAGACCAAGACCAAGAGCCTGAGGTTCATAAAAAGACTGAGTTCAGAAAAGACTCAGAGAAACCTAACCTTTCAAAAAGGTAAGTGATTATTTTAATTGATATATTAAGATTATCTAAATAGAATTCTATATTTAGTCAACAGATTTATTTCAAACCAGTCTTTGAAGAGTAAATAAATTACTTTCAAGTTGAGAGATTTAGATATTTTTTCCAGACTAAGATATTGACAATACAATGTCCATGGGGTGTATTATGGACATGTATCCAGTCTTTGGTCTGTTTCATAACAAACAATGAAAACCAGCAGATGTCACATGGTGAAATGTGACTGTCTGCAGGTCGGGTTTTGAACATTATTGGATTACCACTTTGTTGTTTATTGTGCTTGTTAGATATGATTTAATGCATGATTTCATAGATATCACTGTAAAATGCTCAAGCCTTATGAATATGGTTTACTAATATGCCAGTACCTCTGTGATTTAACAAGTGCAGACATTAATTTAACCGACTAAGCAAAACCTCTGAATGCTATTGAATATTTGAATCAGGGTTTGTGTATCTGCCGACTTTTTAAGCTTATTTAAGATGCAGCAAAAGAGAGAAGTTTCTGATCATTTTGCAACAAGTAATATCCATATGTTAGCTGATATCAAAGTAAACAAAAGCTCAGACATGAAGTGTCCTGAAGTGTACATTATTTTCAAGATTATGAAGAAGAAGCAGCCTCTGAGTCATGAGGTTATTAGAAATTGAGGTCAGAAGATTTTTAGACAGTTTTGAACTTGGAAAGTTTTTGTAAACATTATTTGGCACATACCAAACCCTAACCCTATCTCTTTTTTGGGACGCCCCGTTTGACAAGCTTCTTTAATTCTGAATTTCTGGATCAGACACATAGAATGGCTCCAAAGCTTACAGGAAGAGCCGGTGTCGTCTCTACACATAACATAATTGGTTTGTTAAAAACAGGCTTTGACTTTGAAACAAACTGCACACATTTAGATCAAAGACACTTTCAAAGATTACAAGAATGTCCTTGGACATAAAGTATCAAGAAATCAAAGGTGACGTAAAAGCCGCACAGCATGGCACATTAAAAGCATCCGTTTTTATTGCACTGTTTCTTGTGGTTTGAGCTGCTGGGAAATATGAAGTTGAAATCAATTCCCAACAAGTGTTTTACATTGCTGCATGCTCTTTATATTGTTTAGTTGAAGACATGGTGAAGTCATTAGACCAGCAAAAACCTGAGGCTGGATCTGGGAGAGGAACAAGGCTTCGGTTGATTTGCAGTCGTGTGTTTTGAAATGCTCACACTGCTCACATTTAAGTGGCAGAACAAACAAAAAATTAATTAATAAATGAAATAATTGATTTATAAAATAGCAATCGTAAAAACAAACAAGCCTTTAGCATTAAAATGAAGCTTAACAGTGATTTTAAAAAACATTGGTGGTTCAAAACAAAGACGTGTGCAATCTGAACTGGTAGATGTCAAGCTGATGGAGCAGCTTTAATAAGTGATGAAATATATTTAGAGCCTTGCTCATCCTTGATGCCTGGTGGAGTTGAAAATCTCTTGACTTCTATTTATTTTCTTTGAAAGGAACTAAAGGAACTGTTACTTTGTGCTTTCTGTTAACTGAATAAAGGACAAATGTGGAGAATTAACACAGAAAAGAAGAGAATCATATTCATAAGATAGAATATTGTTACTTTTTCTTCCAGTTGTTGTCAGACAGCATGACCAGAAACTGATTCAGACAAAATTTCACAAAACATATTCCATCAAATCAAAACTATGTTGTTTTTTTTCAGTCCATTTCATACCACCTGCTAACAATAAAATAAAAAAACACATTTGAAAAGATTGTTGAGTTTTTTTTTTAGAATAAAGTCATACATATCCAAAAAATGGGAAGATAACTGGTGCATGACAAATCATTTTAATATTTAAATACTTAAAAATAGCGATTGTAAAACAAACCCGTGTCAGGAGTGTTCAGCATCATGATGACACCGTCCAAACCGTGCCCTTGTTTTCTCCTTCGAAGAATAATTACGGTCGCTACTTAATAGCTTTCAGCCATTACTCGCATGTTAGAGACGTGCGCCACGCTACAGCGTCATGCTAAGCTTTTATTTTGGAACTCCCAGACCGGAACTCGGTCCCGCTTTCTGTAAGGCTTGCTCGTCCTTAGCCAACATGGCCATCGTGCATGCACCGCATCCCTGATACCGACGCAGTGTTCGGCTTTTGAGCAGCAGAAACGCTCGCGTCAGATTCTGCGCTGTATTTCTCCGACTCCGGGCCTCACCTGAGCGAAACGGCCACTATCGCCGCAGTGTCGCTTTTACCCCACGGGAGTTTTTTTTTTCCCTTTCGCGGCCGGTCATAATGCTGTCCGAAGGCAACAAAAACGGGTAAGGGTGAGCCAAAAGGCGACGGAAGGCTTCAGGTTGCAGCTTGTACTTTTCCATCGATTATGTGGAAATATGAAGGGAGAAACGGTTTTCGTTTTTCTTTTTTTTTCCCTCGCCGCATGCTGCTGATTTAGCCGGCAGCTAATACCTGGCTATGAAATATCTTGTCATCCATTCACATTGGCCTGGTTAGCGTGTTGCATGTTCGCCCATGTGAGGAAGACCGGGGGTGGGGGCGTTGGTGAAAGCCTTTTGTTGGGTGAAGGAGCATTGAAGATTGTGTTGGGGGAGGAGGAGGGCGAGGGTCCCCTTTTCTTTTGATCAATGTCTAAAATAGCTGATCATTGAAGGAAACTAATGAATAACTAATGGCCTCAGATACCATGTGGAGAGGGAAAAAAACGCACTGATTTCTCTCCCTGCTATTCCACTGGAACACATTTCTAGTTCTTCAGGTCCACAATGTTCTTGCACAAAGATCTTTAATGAACATCATATTTATTTCTGGAGTTTGTGTGGCTGTAGCTGGTAATGATCTTTGCGTTGTCAAGGGAGATTATTAAAGCAGACATCTGCTAGCTGTACAGTGGTCCCTTATGGTGTCAGATAATTCTCCAGCTGGCACCAGCATTCACGATCTCTTGTGGGATTCCACTTTACCTCTTATTTAATAGGTAACAAATGTGTTGGGCCGATCTGTTCATTTTATATTAGATCTGAATAATTTTGTTAAGCTGCAGTAAGTCGTTAACTAGCAGGATTGCTGTCTTTGTCTGGAACAGCTCGACCATTTGAAAGTACTTTCACATTTTACAGTTTATGAAACAGCTCTTCAGGTGACAGTGGAACTTCATTCAGCTTCCTCATTCCTGCCTCGTCAGACATACAGCAGCCTATTTTAAAAGAGCAGCAAGCAAATTGATTATACACCTCTCTGCTGAGACCTTTCATTGCTTTAAGGCAGTTCAAGCAACACACACTCTCCCCCACCCCCCACGTGCAACAATTTTACCCTCTTGCACTCTCCTGATCGTAAAGGTTTGAATCTTTAGTTACACCTGCGCAGGTGTGCCTCTGGCTTACGCTTTGAGAATTTGTCATTCAATCCAGAGGAAAGTGAGGAGAAGTTGTGTTTGGTGGCCCTGAGAGAGTAAAGAAAAGGGTGTTCTTTTGCTGAAACCTAGCCTGTGACTTAATCTTTAGAGTTGGAGGTTGAACAGGCTCTACTGGAGCTGGAGCTTATTAGCACTTTCCAGGCCCTCCCCTGAAAAATACTTTGAAACGGTGCCAGCCGGGATATTGCATATTCCATTCAAAGAAATAAATGTTAATGTTAATTGTTAAAGCATGCTATGTAAAACTAAGGAATTATTGTGTGCATTATTTATAGTCTGTTACTTTTAGAAAGTTTTGACCCGGCAAAGCCGATTTTAATTGATTATACTTAAAAGACTGAAATGTAAAAAAATTTTCTTAACCTTTCTGCAGTAGTTGGTTATTTAATTATTTATTGGAGATAAACACAAAGTCTCAGTTTGTGAGTGCTGTTGTTAAAACAGGGCTGAAACCCCCAATGTAATTACAGAGTTTGTAAGCCGTTTTTAGTGTGTTGTATTAGCTGTTAGTGGAGTTAGCATTAGCAACAGCGAAGTGCCATCTTTGTATGTAAGCAGAGAGAATCTAAATACTTAGTTTAACTCTTAACATTTCCACAAATGTCGAAGTCCAGGATGGGGCCTTGACCATTTGGTTCCAGTCAACACAACAATGTATTTGTCTTATTTTCAGTCTTTCAAAGAGATCCATGACAGGAAGCACAGCATCAAAAGCTGTGGATCAGACATCAGTTGTCGAAGGGAAATCGGTTACAAATCTTAGTATCTTCTTGGTAGTGCTGGCGCACTTCAGTCGGATCAAATGTCGCATTATTATTTGTGGCAACAAAAAGGATACCCAACAAGTGGGCTGCAGTTCCAGCTCCTTGTCTTTTTTTTTTTTTTATTCAATTACAATGTGTTTTCTTCTTTCTGCTGTGCAGACTAATCAGTTCTTAGTTTAGTGAAACATCTTCAGATTTGATCAATATTTTTGGTACATTTGTATTGTTGTTTTGTGGTTCATTTAGCCTCTTTTTGGAACAATAAGAGGATAAACGTTTCACCAAACTAAAGACAAATCATTTCCAATTACTCTGTTGCACATGGTTTGCATTTCTGAAACACATCCTGTTGCATTTCATAGTTTCCATTCTATGCAAACTCCTGCGTACAGATTCAGGGAACTGCTGGCAGTGGAGGAAAAGGAGCAAACAGATAAGAACGAAGGGTGCTGGAGGATGCGATTCTCCCACCTACAGGATGGCGCTTCTGTCAAACCATGAAGGCAGAAGAAGCCTGCGCTGATGCTGCCAGAGTGGGTTGGTGGTTAGCTAAAAATAAAATTCTGTTTTTGTTTCATTTTTAGAAAGGCATAAAAACTCTGAAAGTGGCACCATTAGGCGAACAGAGCCGTCTGAGGTCTGACTCATTGTAAGCACAATGGATGTACAGTTGAGTGACCCCCAGATGGATCAGATGAAGGCCACCCACAGACTCATCCATGAGTTTACGTCTGGAAGTCTGAGTTAGTTTGTGACCCTAGGTGTCAGTTAGCTGGTGAGGTATTTATAGCGCCAGTGACCCAGATCATCAGCCTCCGGCTCCCTTCTTCTGACTCTTCCTGTTTCTCCTCTTGTCTTGACCGAACTCATTTTGTGTCCTGCTGCACAGACCCTCATATGGCTCCTTGTAAAACAGGGCAGCGGCCATATTGGTCACCTTTTGTCTAGACTTTTGTTCTTCAGTAAGTGATTTAATAGGTCATTCTGCAATTATTAACCTCCAGGTTTACTTCTACAGTAAAGAGTTGTTGAAGTTGGGAAGATATTTATCGAACAGAAATGTTATTTATTTTATTTTTTTAGCCAGGGAGCAAATGGCGATCATTAAACAGATCAATTATTGACTCTACAAAATGGAGTGTTAATGACCAAACCATTTACATGTTTTCCAGTAAAAGCATTTAAACTGGGATTTACTGACCACCACATAAAAAAAAAGATTAAAATGAAAGTCTGTAGGTTTTGGCTGAAAGTTGAGGTTGTCTGGATTTTTTTTTTTTTTTTTGTAACTTTTAAACATCAGCTGTGACATGATGCTCCAACAGGGACTTGACTTGGCTAAAATCAGCTATAATGTTCTGACACTTGAGTTGCTTTAGATCATGTGTTGCACCTGCATTTTATTTATTTTTTCGTTAATGCAGAACTTCCTTCTGAGCTTCATAGCTAAGATTAGCAGGTGTACTTTATGTTGTGAATGACCTGATGATTCACCTCATAGCATATTTCAGTCAGGTTCCAGTTAATTGTGTTCAGATATGACTTTCAGGAAAAAACAGTCACGATACCTTTGGCCTCAAAAAGATGAGTTCAATTTTATGTGGAATTAGAGTGGAACTAGACGTTGGGATAGACATTTTCGAAGCTCATAATTTTTTCATTGGCTATTTTCAATCATCAATTTTTAAAATATAATAATGACATTTAAATGCATTCCACGTCTTGCCATCATCGAGCTGAACCCATTTAACTTTTTTTCTGCAGTGAAGTTTTGAAATCGGGTAACATTTCAAAACTGCGATATTCTCTGTGTATAGTTAAAACTTGTCAGATCTTTACATCGTCATTTACAAATAAAAATTAAAATTGTCAACTTAATGCGACTCCTGTTTAAGACATCCCTAATAACAAACCCTCTTTAACAAACCTGCTAGCCTCATTTACAATTTGTGAATGTGTGTTATTCTTAGTATGTTTCTACTAATTGAATACCAAACAACTTTGATTGTAAACCGATTCCTTAAAATATAATAATGACATTTATTATATTTACTAAGAATTAAAGGTCTCTGAGGAAACAAATAACATTAAACATGGATCATTGAAGTAAACGTGCAAGAAGCTGCTAACCTCTCTCAGTATAAGAATTTCAGTGGGATTGTGCTAATAACCAGTTACTTTAACCTCTCTTCTTGCAGGGAGGTATCTGAACCGAGCACGGCCGCTGTTACGGAAGCAGAACCGGACTCTGAGAGCTCCATGGCCCAGCAGCCAGCTTCTGGGGCTGAGCCAGAGAGCAGCGACAGCCGCATGGAGGAGGTAAGGTCACTGGGAGGGCGTGGGCGATTGGGTCTTGGCTCTGTCTCCCACTAACCTGCATCCTCACTCACGTGAAAGCATGCTTCGTTAGCAGCACTCGGGGGAGGGTCGCTCAAAACCAACACAGCCCTAAACATAAATAATTTTGGCACATATAGGACTTTTTACTTGCTACCTTTCACTGTAAAAAGCAATTGCAACCGTTACCACAGTATTGAATTGGATAAAATCTAAAGCAACGGGGGCTGAGTTGGACTTGGGTTTTGGAGTTATTTGGGAATTAACTCATTCCTTCCATCTGCTTTTAACGTAACTTCCATTTCAAAGCAAGCTTAGTCATGTGGACGGTCTCGCACACACGTCTGTTGTCTGTCTGGGCCATGCAGCGGTAGGTTAAGTGCTGATGCTGCTTGAATGAGAGAGGAGAGATGTTGGTTGTGTTTTAACTCAGACTTCCATTTTGTGAAGAGAGTGCTTGCTTATTATATCACTCCTACACATTCGTGAGTTAGTAGAGAGGAGAATGTGTGATTTTAAAAGCTCTCTCTCAGACTATTGCTTAGCAATTTAACGATGTGGCTGATTATTTCTGCATCTTACTGAACTTCTGGCAGCTGTTTAATGAATAATTATAGATGTGGTGAAAGTTTTGTTGTTGTATAACTTGCTTTAAATGGGGATGCACCAATCAGATATCAGAATGCATCATTTTTACCTCGATACACTCTGATTTGTAATTGGCAGCTTTTCTCTTTTGGGTTTTGTAACCGACTAGTTCTGTAAGTCTCACATGTTCTGTAAAGCGGTGTTGTGTTATGAACATATGCATTTACGAATCAATTAGCATAATCTTGAAATTGGATAATCATCTGTTTTATCCACGCTTTTGTTTTCTTATCTTTTATGAAATGAGGGGTAACAGCATATCAGACATCAAAGAAACAGACAGGAAAAGCCTGATTGGTGCATCTCTACTTATCGGTCTCACCTCTGTTCATTCAGTCTAGATGCATTTGCTAACCATGTCAAGCTTGTGCTTCAATCAGGACGTGCCCTTGCAGATGGATTTAGCTTCTTTACATCAGAAATAAGATGGTCCTAGATCATTTTTCATTGCTAGACCTGAACCCGTTGAAGACAATCAGACGATCGGTTTGTTTTTATGTGGCCGTTCTCAGTGTGTGTCCCATTTCTGCTCTACCTGTCGTAGGCCCTGTGGCTCTGCATGGTGAAGGCCGTTAACAGTGTGTGCACATCGAGATGCATGACCAGAGCTTGCTTCTCAGTTTCTGTCACGGTGTTCTCACTCTGTTTGAATTCCTACTCGTTTCCTCTCTGACTTTTGTTCGCCCTTCCTGCTTACTCTCTCTCCTCCTCTATCCATTATTTGCCTCTGTGTCCCATCATGATTGCTTTTCTCTCTCTCTCACTATATATTGATGGTGTGATTGCTGTTTTAAAACCCCATTGATTGCTTTGTTATGAAGGTGCCCATGCCTCTTCCATTGTCCCTATTGGTACCTGCTGAGTACTACTACCACCAGCACCACCAACAGCACCTCTTCCACTTCTCCTACTCCTTCTACAACTCCCGCCCCGCTATGCCAAAGTGCGTCGATGGTACCCGAGTTAGGCCCAGAGTCTGCAACCCCGCGGCACTGAGCAAAACCCGCCGGCTCGGCCCTTCAGTGGCGAGCTGAGCCAACCGGAGCGCGCATCAGAGCTGTGCCGAGCAGCAGCAGCCACGGTTACTGCAGTTGTCATAGCAACCTGGCTGCAGGGGTTGGACTCCTGCTGAGCTGAATAAAGCTGGACTGGACTGCACCACGTGGGGTTGATTCCCTACCACCATCTTGAGGAGAATCAAAGACTCAAGGTGTCATCCTGAGGCTGAGGAAAGAAAGCTTCAGCTCCAGCTCAGATTTGACTCTTATGGTCCCACACTGCCCTCTGCTTGTGCGGTGGAGAATTGACTCTGGACTGAGAATTGATGCAGAACGTCGTGATTCACCCAGAGGATTATTTCTGGGTAGAAACATTCAAACACGTCCAAGAAGAACTGCTGCCGAAAAATACTTCCAGCCACAAAGTGTTGGATTTTTCATTTATTAATTTTTTTTGATGGACATTTTCTTGTGGATTTTACAATTGTGAGGGCTCCCACTTTGAAAACATGTCGATGCCTGGGCACATCACTGCAACAGAAACTTATCCATCATTCACTGCGTGGGGAAAAAAAGTGTGAAAGACTTTTGACTCTGACAGGACACACCATGCGTCACACCCGGCACTTTGATTTCCTGTGGACGCACAGAGAATCGGATCCGTCAGAGTTCGCCTGCAGAAGTGAACAAGTTATGCCTCTTTAAACCAGATTCACACCGCAAGTAAACCCAACATGGAGTTTGTGATGCTCTGCCGCTGAATTGCAACAGTTTTTGTCCAGCTATTGTCACTCCAACAAAGTGTCCTCATCCTCTATATGTGGTCTGAATCCAGAGGCATTCAGCGCTGCGACTACGACATGTTTTGTTTTGTTTTTTTTTACTACTTGCCTGGATCGTTGTTTTCCAAAGACTGCCTGATTTCACCTATTAGAGACTGAAAGACAGTAGCCTGCTGTGAAAAATCAACATTTAAGCTGCTGTTGGATCTGGGAGAAACAACTGGAGCGACAAATCAAATCATCATCATCTTGCTGCTGCTTTCTCTCAAACCACCTTGGGACAATTTCAAAGACTCTTGACTGTTTTTGCCCTCTTCTCACCCAGCAGAGGTACATCACACCTCAGAGACACTAACTCCACCCCCGCCCTGCCTCCACCACCATCTACCAGGCAACACTAAGAAACCTGAGGTTCCTAAAAGACTGAAACGTGACTGTGAGCAGCAGTAAGCCCAGAGAAAGTCTTCCCCCGCCCCGTCCAAGTCCGATCCAGTGATCAGTTCCCGCCTGCTGGTTAATCTGCACACTGAAAGCGAGCCCTGCACTCACTGCTCTGCCTTCTCTGATTGGATCCTTGTTTCCTAGACACAGTGCACACTGTGGTGCGGTTGGGCCCATAGTCAAGCCAGTAAGGAATCAGGTCTTAAATGGTACCAGGAAATGACTTGTCAGTATTCCTCTTATTTAAACATGTCTACAAGTGATAGAGTCACTTTCTTCTTGATGTTAATTTTTTCCTGTAAGATCTGCGTTTTGTTGTAATGCAGTTGACGCTTTAAGAACCGCCAGTTTATTGAAAAGTTGTTCTAAATTTGGGAGTTCTCATTTTTAGAGGGGAGTTTATCTGCATTAACAATGTTTAAATTTATATATACCTTTTGTTCAACACTTATTGATTTACACCATCACTTAAATTCTGAAGATAGAAACGGATTTACAGCAATTTTTACTGCAGTTCTTGTACATTTATTTAGAAAAACTTCACCAGATACTTTATTTATAGCACATTTTGAAATGCTAAGTTTTGCTATTTCTTTATTAGCATCAGTCCTCCACATACACATTGCAGCAATAGGTGGATGACTGATCTATCAGTGTGGATCAGCGAGCCCTTAAAGTGGCACAGTTAAAGTCTGCAGGTCTCAGTTACTCTAACTCACCTTTCCCCACCCCTCCTCCACTTTTCCTTTTCACCTCCTCTGTGTTGTTACCCGTTTGGGTCTGGACTCTGGGTTCTCATCTCGCCCCACACCCCTGGGGTCTCTGTATGCTCTTTCTGTCTCCCTGTCTTTCCAGAGCACCACTCCTAAGGCTTTTGCTGCTCGCAAGATCTCCCTGTCCAGTAAGTATTGCTGTTATCATGTTATCATCTCCCACAGCACCGGTTACAGTGAAAAGAAACGCCAAGTGAGATATCTGGTGTCACTATTTTTATTATTATTTTCTCTTTTTTTTTGCGGCGGTGTTCTTTGTAGGAAGGCTGATTCTGTAGCTTGGGTTGTAACATTTGTGGAAACTTCAAATGTAGTTTAATGAATCGATCTGGATGATGTTCAAAATGAGCTCTTCATGTTTCTATTGTCGAAGCCACAGCTCTGTTCCTGAAAAGACATCATTCTTTCTGCTGAAACGGAGGAAACAACTGCTTTGGTCAGGACCTAGAGGCGCGCTCTGGGGAACAGCAGCCAATTAAAACATTGTCGTGTCACGTTTCAAAAGTCAGGGTTTAGTTTTTGAGTCGGTACCAGCCTTTCTGTCTTAGTTACCGTATTTCCCGGACTATAAGTGGCACTTTAGGTCTAAGTCTGACCTCCTGCGATGTGTAGTTCATAAAGGCTTTTCTGTTTCGTTTTTTTCCTCTTTAGGACACAATTTTTTGACTGGAGAGACGTGTAGCTCGGAAATACAGTAGTTCTGATAAACCGTATATAAAACAAGTAATTTTCATAATTAGGAAAGATTCCTCAATCTCCCTTTGACTCGTTTACCAAAGTTACCACGGTCTGATTGACGTAAAATTGCAAACTTTGGCATTCAAATATTTTTTTTATGTGTTAATTCATTCAGTTTGAACCAATGAGACTTTCAGTCAAAACAAAACACAAGTCCCGCACACTCCAATGAGATCTTTAGTTAGTAGAAAGGTACGGTTTGTTTCTTCCACAGGAGAAAATACCCCTGTGGGAATGACCCAAATTGTATTTAAAGCAACTGACAAAAAGGACATGAAGAACTCGTTTTGAAAAGAAGAATGACGATCTTTGAAGTATGCCACTTAAAAAACATTGTAGCAAAGCTGTGTTCTTTGGAAAGCTAAAAGGAAAAGGTAAATGGCCCATGAGTTTTCTGAAACAACCTGGTGTCTGCTTTACAAGTTTTTTTTTTTAAATCTTTTTTCTTTAAAGAATGTCTGTATTTTATGGCCAAATTTGATCCAAATCAACCAGAGAAAGTATAAAAAGTTGCTGCTTTACACCCAAGTTAACATGCTGAATGCCTGTTTACAGGATATTATTAATAAATTGTAGCGTAGGAGAATTTAACGGTGGGAACTATGCTGCTTGCTCGCCCGAGAAACAGGAGAGGCAAAGGGGAGGATGGAGAAAACTGACTCTGAAGGGAGTTTGGCGATGTGCGTTCCTTAGTTTTTCAACCAGGCCTTTAACAAATGGCAACTATTTGTTACTTCCAGCACATTTCTGAATGAAGCAATGTCTGAAAGTGCCCAAAAGACATATTATGTTTTTTTTAATAAGTTGTTTTTCCAGCTTCTATTGAACTTCTTCATCCAACTGTGGATTTTAAACAGGCATTCACAAACACGTTGGATAGTTCAATGCTGAGATTAATTTCAATACTAGCTGATACATTTCAACAGGATTATAAGGGATTATGCAACAGAACTCAGACTTTTGATACATTCTATTTGAATACTTTGCATTTATGTGGCACCACACATTTTTCTATATGGGTCCATATTGGAAGTACAGTATAGTATGTCTACTATAAATATAGAGGTTTAAGTAACTGGTATACAGTGAATAAATTTATATAGTTGATAAAATGACTTTTCTTAATTATTCATGCTCGTTCTTCACAAGAAGAACAAGCATATGGGTCAAAAGGAATCCCTTTGTCCTTTCAGGCTGCAGTAACCTGTCTGTTGGTTTCCGTCCCCTGCAGAGTGAGCCACCGAAGTTTCACGGCAATAAAGTGTTTCTTTCTAACACCTGCAGCCAGCAAGGTGTCTCCGGCCGGCACAGACGGAGGAACGGGAGAGCCCGAAACAGGAAGTGCAGCAGGGAGGAAGAGGCGGTGGGGCTCCAGCACAGCAGTCACGGTTAAGAAGCCATCGATCAGCATTACCACAGACTCCCTGAAGGTACGGACAGGTCACAGGGGGACAAGCTCACAGCAGAATGGAAAATAAAACATGTGAAACTCTTTAGTGAGTGGAGCATTTGAAACACAGTAAGCTGTCACACATGCTGGTTTTTCTCTTAAGATTTCTCTGGCTTCATATTTAACCAGCTTTAATTTTGTATTCATGAAAAAAAAAATCCATACGTAGAATATCTGTATGCAAACTTGGTAGCTTATCGCTTTTTACTTTAGTGATTTGATTGTATAGAAAATTTCAAATGATTGCAGAAAATATTGAACTTTTTTTCAATATCTCTTCTCCTGTCCCTCCACCCTCTCCTGTCGTCCGGTTCTGTCCTCCAGTCTTTGATTCCAGACATCAAGGTGAACCAGGACGCAGTGGTGGACCTTCACCCCGAGGAGCTGCAGATGTCCGGAGACGAGGAGAACTCCGACGCCGGTCGGAGCGACCCAGACAAAGGTCTCAAGATCCGACGCACTGTCACGCAGGTCAGGCGGGGCAGGGCATCTTGATGCTGCCCTTTTAATTTATTATTTTTTTTCTCAAAAGGTTTTTCTTTCTCAGTTCCAGTGTGATAACTCCTTTTACTCCCTCTCAGGTTGTTCCCAGTGAAAGCCAGGAAAATGGCCAGACTAACGTCGAAGAAGAAATGGAGAAATCAGAGGATGAAAAACAACACAAGACGTCTAGAGACGCAAAGAAGAGCAGTGTCTCTGATGAAGCGTCCGAACCACAGATGTCTGTCAAACTAGAAGGAGAGCCAAAGAAAGGTGGAGTTGGACCACTTTTTGTTTTTTACCCGTTGAAACAATTAAATATTTTTATGTTTCATTGTTTTTTTTAAACTGATTTCATTAAAATGTACTTTTATTCTTCCTCTAGTTTAGTTTTTGTTTCAGTAGCAATATGGTTCTTTCAGATTTAATTATTCATCTGTACTTCCATCATTTTAACATTTGTTTGTTCGTCTTTCCATCTATGCATTCTGGTTTTTGTGGGTTTTAGATGTGAAGCATCATCAGTGCACAATAATCTGCCACAAATTCCTTTTTGAAAAATTTGTATTTACAAAAAAGGGTTGAACAAAATGACTGGGAGCTGTGGAAATTTGATTCTGGGAAACTCTGGGATTTTCACACGGGAAGGAATGAAGGGTCTCCGCTGCAGCTTCCCACAATCGCCATGAGAGATGCTCTGACCACGTCGAAGAATGAAACGCCTCCATCTTGAGAAAAGATTCAGCGAACAGACCGATCCTGTGCAGCTCCGATCGCCTCCTCCTGCCCGCCCGCCTGACGGTTTCGCTTCTCCGTCTCTCCTCCAGTGACTCCCAGCGACAGCCTGGTGCGGCGCTCCATCAGTCAGCAGAAGTCTGGCGTTTCCGTCACCATCGACGACCCCGTGCGCGCAGCCAGGCAGCCGTCGCCGCCTCGCGGGAAAGTTTCTAACATCATCCATGTTATAAATCTGGTGAGTCACTTACTCTGGAGATAAACTCCCAAGGAGATTTCTTTTATAACGTAGAAGAAAAAAAAAGATACAGTAGAAATTTTCTCCTCCCCCAAATACTTTAAAATGTGCTCAGCTTGCATCAGAGGAACCATCCCCCACGTTTTTCATGAATGAGGCTGCCGCCAGCGCTGGCACCACATCATCGGCCAGAGCCGTAATTACAGTCAGGAACAATTAGCCAGGTGTTCCAGCTGCAGTCAGGTGGAATCTCCAGCGGAGCGGCGCGGGGCATGTCTAACCAGACGATGACAAGACGAGACATTACACATTAGTCATTACATTTTTTCAGCCTTGTGTCATAGAGGCCACACAGCGGTAAACCTCTGTTGATCAGGCTGGCTAATTTCAGTGCAGACGGAGTCGTTGCTACGTTTGTTATTATTTCCCCTCAAGATTTTATGTGGGAATTAAAGAGTATGTCTTCATTTTGTTCTTAGCACTAATGGTGACTTTTCACCAGAGGGTGGCACTAAAACCGAACACAAATCCTGCTGAGTAACAGGAACACATGAGAGAATAATGGGAGAAATGAAGCATACAGTTCTGTATGTTCATTTTTGCAAAGATCTGTAGATTTCAGTTTGTATGGTTCTTTGCAAAGGCAAAAGATGATAATGTAAAGCCTCCAGAAATGAAATGAAGCGTCTGCAGTAGGTCGTACGGATCACAAATTACATGATTTCTGATCTTTGACTCTGTTGTCGGAGCAGGGATCATTTACCCGCCTTGAGATTTTGACGTCGGCCATTTTGTCTTTGAATGGGCCGACACCTGTCAGCTCATTATAAATAAGCAACAGATTTCTTCTGACCCGGCTTTCCATCGTAGGTCCGACCGTTCACTCTGCTCCAACTCAAAGAGCTGCTGAACCGAACAGGGAGCGTGGTGGAGGACGGCTTCTGGATCGACAAGATCAAGTCTCACTGCTACGTCACGGTAAGGACAAGCGGCTCAGCGCCGGGCTCTGGGAGGAGATTCACTCCACTGAACACGGACATTTTCGTTAATCAAACCCGTTTGCCTAAACTAGACTGTTGTGAATCGCTCCCGAGTTATGATGATGTTATGGTTTTATTGGTTTAGCTTAAAAAGTTGACATACGTTGAAGCAGCAGATGTAGATTTTTGACCGATCCTTGCTGTGTCTCTTATCCTTTTTTTTGTTGTTGTTGTTTTTTTAAAAGAAAATTAATTCACAGGTATGGGCTGATGTAAGATTTTCACTCTATAAGAACTTTGAGTAAAAATACAAAAGATGCCACAAAATAAAAGTAAACTAAATACTGAAATAATGGGACATATTATTTTTATTTACCGTCTAATAAATAGCTAGATTCCCATGAAGCTCCTTTCAGCCTGAAAAGGTGAGCAGCTCAGCTTTGCGCCGCGGTTATCTGGACTGTGATGGTTTTGTTTTTGAACGCTGTTAACGATGACGGATTGGGCTTCCTTCAAAATATGTCGCGTCAGGACATCAACAGGTGGGGGAGGGGCAGCCCGGTTCCTCTTTGCTCTATGAAGCGGTGAAGAGCTTTATGGCGGCGGCCCCACTTTAAAGGATTCTCGGTCTTAGAGGTTTAACTGCTGATTGAGTCGGTGGGCCGTCACGTCGACCGACACGTCACTGCTAATAATGTCGTCTCGATGGAAGCTTTTACTTTACTTTCCTCTAATATAACCAGCTTTCTCACAAGGACGTCTCTTTTCATCTTTTGATGGTGATTTATGTTTTTTGAGATGAAAATTACTTTCATCGGTTATCCTGACAGATTAATCAGATTAAAAAATTGGCACCTGCTACAAATTTTTCATTGAGTCTCCTAAGGTTTTTTTTTTTTAAATCGATTACTAAAGTAGTGCCGATTATTTAGAGAACTGATTAATGACGATCAGTTTGCTGCATTGCACTCATCTCTTTTGTCCCGTTCTGTTCTGGCAGTACGCGACGGCGGAGGAAGCGGTCGCCACCAGGACGGCTCTTCATGGAGTCAAATGGCCGCCTAGCAACCCCAAGGTGCTGGGTGTGGACTTCTGTGAGCAAGATGAGGTGATGAAGGCTGAGGTACCAGTTCACCCCCTGGTCTCTGTTGTCCAGATGTTCATGTCCATTTCATCTGGCCTCCACAGTTGGATTACCACAAAGGCATCCGGAAGCCAGAGAAAGACCAGCAGGATCACGCCGCCCCGGCTGCCCCTCCTCAGCCCCGACTGCCCCCTCTGATGCCTGTGCGAGACAGGGACAAAGACCAGGACCGGGACCGCGAGCGGGACAGGGAGCGGGACAGGGACAGAGGTGTGCGCGACCTGCTGGCAGAGCGACAGAGGGAGATGGAGCGGCGGGAGCGGGCGCGAGGAGAGCGGGAGTGGGACCGGGACAAGGTGCGGGAATTTGCGAGACCCGGAGAGGAGGGACGGCGATCGCGGTCCAGAGAGCGGGAGCGCCGGAGGAGGGAGCGAGCCAAGAGCAAAGAAAAGAAGAGCGACAAGAAGGGTAATCAAATGGACATCTAACGTGGAAAAAACAGACGGGTGTGACGTCTCGCGTGCTGATGTTTTACAAAGATGCAAAACTTTGCAAAAGTATTCCCCCCCATTTATTGTTAGCCAAGAGGAAACGCAGGGTGTCTAAGCAGCCTTAAGACGTCTTAAATTCATGCATGTAAAATCCAGGCCTTAAAATGTCTTCCGTTGATTAGGGAAAAAGAGTTGGCCTTAAACATGTTACTCACAGGTATTAAATCTTGTTGCGGCAGCAGTTTTCAATCTCATATTTTATATAGTTGAGGCTACCATTAACCACCTGCTAATATATCCTTCCTAGCTAGCAGGGATTCAGCTGTCTGTCTCTTTTATTGACATCCTTAATGGAAATGTGTCGCCAGCCTGCTGGACGGTGATCCATGTCTGTTTCCTCTCTGACAGAGAAAGGAGATGAGCCTCCTGCTAAACTGCTGGATGACTTGTTCCTCAAGACCAAAGCAGCTCCCTGCATATACTGGCTCCCCCTCACTGAGGAGCAGGTCGGTCTCCCTTTACTTTAAGACGCTTTATGTCTTCTGTTGCTTCGTGCTGTATGGCTGACGGACTCAAACTGATGTGTGAACTCAGGCGAACCAGAGGCTTTTGGACCGCGTGGAACGGCAGAAGGAGCGCGAGCGAAAGCGCAAGGAGCTGGAGGAGGAGGACAAAAAGCGTGACGAGGAGAAAAGAGAGAGGCTCAAGGGCCGGGAGAAGGAAGGCGGCGGCGGTGGAGGTGCCGGCGGTGGAGGTGCCGGCGGTGGAGGCGCCGGCGGAGGTGCCGCAGCGAGCAGCGGGGTGCCTGGGAGAGGAGGCGATGCCGACAGAGAGCGAGGCCGAGACAGAGAGGGGGACAAGAGGAGAGACAGCAACCACCGATCCAGACGACCCTCCCCGGGGCCCGCCAGCGCCCGGCGCTCCCGCAGCCGCAGCAACCCCCGGGACAGGCGCCGCTGAGGCGCTGGACGCTGCGGGGAATGATGAAGAGAAGGGAGGGGGAGGCAGAGGACGCAGCAGAGACGGAAGTCTTGTGGTCCTCAGCCTCCGCCTCGCCACACTTCAGAAGGCTCAACATGACACCGGTGTCTTCCACGCTCCTGTCGTTGCCCCCTCCTCTTTGTCGTTCGATTGCAGAAAACCATTTCTGATTTATAGGAAAGTGTCCGTTTCTCTTCGTCCCTCGAAGCGGTCTTCCTTCCACCAGTTCTTTTGTTTCCGTTTTTGTCGATCCTCCGTCACTGAAGAGATGTATAGCGGAGGGCGGTTGTTTTCATGCTTCCCGCTTCGTTTTGTCCCACTGAGGTTTTGGGGACCGCCTGACTATTTTAGCTCTGTGGTCGTGCAGTTCCTTCCTCCTCAGAGCCCTGTAATAAACCCAGTCCAGAATAGATCCCTGACCGTGACCCGACATGATTTCTAGCAGTCGTTTTACTGATCAGCACTAAAAGTCAAATATAACTATACATGTAAATACCACAAAATTTACAAATGGCCCCTAGTCAAAGTGAAAGTTGTTTTATTTTTGAACGGTAATTATTTTCCCAGATGGTTGTCAAGTCGGAGCAGGTGAGTCAGAGAAGACCTGGTCTCCACACCGAAACAAGCGAGACAGGAAAACGTGTCACACCGAGCCGACGCGAAGGAAACGGATCTGTAAAGCCGACCCGCCTCACCCCTCATACTTAGGAACGCAAGAATACAAAAGTTTATCTTCTGATAGAGTAACATTTGCAGTTTTAATATTTTACTTTTTTTTTTTAGTTTGTTTTTTGTTTCCTTCTCCAAGTGCTGAATGTACCAAGAATTTAAGAAATGAATAAATTGGTTTACCACACCGTCTGATGATCGTTTTGTTGCATCATTGTGGACGTGACGGCCATTTTAAATGCTGGATTATTTATCCCTTCCAACAGCATAGTCTGTTGTATTTAAAGATTTAAGTCACTTCATCCATCCTCTCTTCAGTCATGCATGTGAGAAGTTCCCAGACTTTCTCATCAACCCATCAATGCTCTCAAGCACTTTTCAGAACAGGCCCACAGCATCACAGAGCCTCCCCCAAACTTACCAATTATCTTTCATTTTCCCATTGTCATCCAACTTGGGATTTTTGCACAAACCCAGCTAGTTTTTTGTTGAGAGATGAAATCTTGGTGTCATCTGATCAAAGCGGTTTACTAAACTCCACTAATTTGTTTGTGGTGGAAGATCAGAAGAAGGTTTTTCCCCGGCAAGCCTCCAAGGCAACTTTTAATGGTTGGATTAAGAGGATTCTTTCCCCCCGTCTTTCTTCATCCTCCTGGCACAATAAATACAGGCTCTCAAATCTAGCAGCTGAGAAATGTCAAATTCCTAGGAACCTAATTTAGCGTCTCTGAAAGGCGCCACATTTACATGCGTAGGGTCGCTGCAGGTCGGAGGGACGTTCCCTGTAAATCTGTTAACATTTGCTTTTATTGAAATTGTGACCAATATCTGTAAGTACACAATCTGACCACAAATGGAAAAATACTTAACACCCAGAAATGACAACATGGTTTCTCTTCAGCTTGCACAGATTCATGTAACATACAGTAAAGTCAATATTTAAGTGCAAAAGTTTGCTAGTCATGATGTATATACACAACATAATTCAGTAAAATCCCTTTTGTTCTTCTACAGCAAACAGTAGCAACACTGGGGTTAAAGAGCAGTAGTCTGTTCCCTTTTTTTTGTGTTTTTTTCTTAAAACTATAGTACAGTAAAGGTACAAGAAGTACAGCAGGCAGAACATGTGACGGACCAATCAGAGGACATGAAATGTGACTACATGAAACGTCTCGACGGCAGCAGTTTCGTTTTAAAAAAGACGCACAAGAAAGATGGGAGAACGCGTCGATCGATTCTTTGAGGAAATCCACAGCTGCGCGACGTGATCAGTGTGTCTTGTGTGGGGGAACGCCGTGTGTGCCACACACTCTGCTCATGTGACAGGAGTGGCAGAGGAGATGAGAGTCCAGAGGGAAGCACTGCGAGCCGGGCTTATCGGAGAGCTGCTTGCCACACTCCTGGGAGGACAGGGGGAAAAAAAGGAAAAATACTCGGATAAGGACAGGAATGCACACAGAGGGGAAGGCAGCTCAGCCGCTCGATGATTACATAACGAAATTCTTGGAAGGGAGACTGTCGGGAGGAAACCTTTGTTGGGAGATATAACTCACCTCGCAGTGGTAGCACTCGAAGTGGTAGTCCTTGTTCATAGACACGACCCTGAGGATCTCCTCGCTGCCCTGGGGAACGAAACAAAAGAGCTCCAATAACGTCTGCATTCACTTCAGGGAAATCCGTCATGCATTTCATGTCGCCTGAATACAGATAACCTGCATGAACTTAAGAAATTTAGTTCTGAAGCTTCAATTGATTCTGTTGAAAATTAGCTCTGAATCCTAAATAGAGAAAGAAATTAAATGGGACTGTATTGTCCTGCAAAAGAAAAAAGGAATAGATGGGTGTCGTTTGTTAGCATAACGTTTTTCCAAGTAAAATGATGTTCTCAATTCACTTTTATTACATAAATTAATAGCTGCTCACTTCCCTGAATCAACATAAGTAACAGATCAATAGTTTTGTCAGTATTTTTTTTTCTTCCATCCACTGCATGAGTGGAATATTAAGATTTGATGCAACAACTGGTAATTCACCACTGGGGCGCCTTGTAGGCTCGTCACAGAGGGCTTTTAAATGCCCTGGGCACTGTGCCGGTTTGTTGGGTGACTAAGCCGCTGCCTTGTAACTCACAGTTTCATGCCAGGTATTCCCCTCATGATTCATATTCCAGGTGGAGAGTTTACTCCAGCTGCTTTCTTAAATGCCCAGGAGAAATGCCCTGAGAAAGCACAAGCCCATCTGCTCTGTCGAGTTTTTATGTCCCAACTCGACACATGAAAATGTCCGTAACTACTGTGGGCTACAATCCTAAACACAATGGAGAAAACAAAAGCTGCAAAAACAATGCCCTTTACCACCAGGTCAAACCAGATAAAGGATTACTCATTAAAACAGATAAGAGGCGACTCACTTCAGTCGGTAAGATGGGTTGCAAACAGGCAGCGCACTTTGGAGCAAAAGTCCTGCAGATGTGACCAGAGAAAGTTTTATTTGCTGTGGAAACGACTGCCAACCATGAAACTCACTTTGCGTCTGTCATGTGAAACAAAACTGTAAGCATACACAGTACGGAAATGCAATAAACTCAACGGTCAACATATAGCACAACTTGAAGGTTTCGGCTCTCTCAATTTTTCCAAGTCCAAAAAGAGAGAGCGGCTCAGTAAGCCGTGGATCCTCACTTGTTGTAGTCGGCGACGCAGTAGATGTTGCTGTGCTGGTCCACAGTGAAGGGAACCCCGTCCAGAGCCTTGGAGCACACCACGCAGCGGAAACAGCCGGGATGGTATGAGTTCCCAACGGCCTGCAGGATCTGGACACAAACATCGGAAAAACTTTTAGATTTTACATTTGTAGCTATAAATGTGCCTCTCGCCTGAAACGTGAGCTGGAGGTCGGCACCAGCACCCAGTCGGGTCAACGGTGTTTAAAATGGATGGATGGATGGATATAGTCTGTAGAACAGAGCCATCTGTTATTATCCCTCGGTGGGAAAACTGTAGAAACACTTTTGTTTCTTTTCGACCTCTTCGTCTTGTGTTTAGATCCGTCTCACTGATAATTCTCTTATCAACCTTTTATTAGAATACAAGCCGAGATGCACGAGAACAGAACGTGCTTCCTACTGCGCAAGACGACAATGTACAAATTCTTGCAGGGTTAATGAGCTGCAACTCTGGAAAAGGTCACATGTGGCTGATGCGTCCAAGGAGGATCAGCTTTAAAACAGAAAGAGTTGCGTTTCAAACTCTGGACTTCCTGAAGATTTTTAACATCTAGCCAGCTAACAAGATGTCTAGTTGGATACAAAAAAAAGTAGGATGGCCAAAAAAGGAACTATGGAAGGAATAAAAGAAGGAAGTATAGATAAAGTCAGCACATAAGAGACAAAGACGTAAAGAAAGACTTTTTTTTTTTTTCCAGACTAAGCTAAAATGTCCAGACTGAGGAAAGTTGCTCTCTAGATAAACATCTCCAGCTCTCCTCACTCTTTGGCCCTCAAGCTCGCCATGTGAAGTTCGGTTCCCGTGGCTCACAGGCCGTCTATTAATAAGCACGACGTGGTTCATATAAGGCAAAAAAAAAAAAAAGTCTGCAGATAATCACTGCACAGCCTTAAGTCTTTATTTACCAAAAAGCCAAGGCAAACATTCCAGGCCAAATCTTATCGTGGGAAACCAAAGAAGTGGCAACAGAGAGACGTCAGCGCATTTCTCCGTCCCCAGGAGAAATGGCTTCAAAGGGAATTGTGGGAAACGTGGGGATGTGTAAAGTCGTCGCAGAGAAAAGGAAAAAAAAAAAAAAAAAAAACGTTACCCAACGCAAGACTGGTGTGGAGCTTGCATGGGATTTTCTTTAAATCTGACATAATCGCCCCTGGTGTGAGCGTGGAAGCGTCTCACCTGCTCCAGAATGAGGTGACCACACACGCTACACTTCTCAGCAGCTGCCTGGAATCCCGAAAACTGTAATAAAAAAAAAAAGGAGATTAGAGTTCATCCCGACGCCGAAAGGTGTCAAAACACATCTCGACCTCAGCTCTCACCATGTAATCCTCTTTACAGTACACAGAGCCGTTGACATTGTAGAAGTCCTTGTTTCTCAGGGTGCGACCTGCAAAGGGGTCACATTTTTTCATTTTTGAAAAAAAAAAAAAAGAAATAGAGGGATGGAGGCGCAGAGGAAGGGCGTGGCGCCAACTCCGCAGGGGGCGGGGGGGGGGGCGGGACTCACCGCAGGAGACGCAGGTGAAGCAGTGAGTGTGATAGAGGTGATCCAGAGCCTGGCAGGCGTTGTCCGCCCCGTACACACCTTTCCCACACTTCACACAGGTACCTGCGGAGGGTTCAGGGGAGAAAACACACACACACATACACAAACACACACACACACACACACACACACACACAAACACACACACACACACACAAAGTGGTCACAAACGGGCGTTTAATGGCGGCTCCTGTTTACAGCAGCATTCCAGGAGGATGTGTCCTGAAATCCAGCTCCACACACACACACACACACCACACACACACACAACACACACACACACACACACACACACACACACACACACACACACACACACACACACTGTCAACACTTGTAAATCCTCTCGTTCGCACCACCTAGGGGATTTTCACGCGGCTGAAGCCCGGCTCCCCATGCCAGGCTGTTTGCTCATCCACTCATGTGTCTGTTATTAAAGGGGAAACTCCGCCGGATCCCGCTCTCAGAATAGAGCGCTCTTTCTTCCAGGAGTTTGGAGCTTAAGACGGGCCCTTTGAGTTTCATGCAAACCCCCACATTTAGAGCAATTTGGGATGTTTATAATGACAGGGCTTCTTCCATTCGCTCCGGGAGCCAGAAAGTGACTAAAACTTGCTCATTTTTCGAGCGTCCAGATCTAATTTTCTAGCGGAGGTTTGCTCGTCTCTGAAATCGGACCTTCAGCAAATCGTTTCGAGAACCAGATTTGCTGTCTGCAGGGAAGCCGGCGCTACATTAACCTGTACAGTGATGTTAACAAGCAAAAAAACAAAGTTTGACCCTTAAACTGGACTCAAATGAGAAAAGTTTTACACTTTCTCTCATTCTGCACTGCAAAAACTCAAAATCTGAGAGTATTTTTGGTTTGGTTTCTTGTTCAAATATGTTAGCACACTTGAAATGAAACCAAACTAACTTAA